TCTCACTATCACGGCCTCTCTTGTTGTGGAGCACAGGCCCCAGAGGTGCAGGCTCAGTAGTTGTGGCTCACGGGCCTAGGTGCTCTGCGGCATGTGGGATCTTCCCAGACCAGGGCTCGAACCCGTGTGCCCTGCATTAGCAGGCAGATTCTCAACCACTGCACCACCAGGGAAGCCCTCTTTCTTTTTTTTTAAAAGAAGGCAAAAAAAATTTTTTTTATACAAGATCATTTTATTTTATTTATTTATTTTTAATAAATTTATTTGTTTGTTTTTATTTTGGGCTGTGTTGGGTCTTCGTTGCTGTGCGTGGCTTTCTGTAGTTGCAGCGAGCAGGGGCTGCTCTTCATTGCGGTGTGCCGGCTTCTCATTGCAGTGTCTTCTCTTGTTGCGGAGCATGGGCTCTAGGCTTGCAGGCTTCAGTAGTTGTGGCACACGGGCTCAGTAGTTGTGGCACATGGGCTTAGTAGCTCCGCAGCATGTGGGATCTTCCCGGACCAGGGATCGAACCCACGTCCCCTGCATTGGCAGGCAGATTCTTAACCACTGCGCCACCAGGGAAGCCCAAGGCAAAATGTTAACATCTGTCTTGGCGGCGAGTACATGAATGTGGATATTATTTTCAGTCTATTTGAAATGTTTTACAGTTTAAAATTTAGAAATTGGGACTCCCCTGGCAGCCCAGTGGTTAAGACTCCACGCTTCCACTGCAGGGGGTGCAGGTTTGATCCCTGGTCAGGGAACTAAGATCCTGCAAGCCGCTCAGTGCGGCCAAAAATAAAAAAGTATCATCATTAGAAATTAAAAGATCACAAAAAACCACAAACAATTCTGCACGCATTTCCTCCACATGCACGCTTGCCTCCCTCCAGACCACCTGAGGCACAGTAACCAGAGTGATCGAAACATAAACTGGGTCGTGTGGCTTTTACCCAGCCTCCTCCAGGGGCTCCCTACTCTTGTCCTGCATGCTCTGGTCCCTGCAGGCCTCATCTCTCTCCAACCCCAACACCCGCTCATCCCAGATCCATCTGTCCGTCACTCATCCCTTCAGGACAAATGGAGCACTTACGCTGGGCTAGCACTACAGGCAACGGGGAGAAATGATGACCAGGACAGACAGAGTTCCTGTTCTTAACAAGCTGTCATTCTAGGAGGGGAAACAAACAATAAACAAGGCAATAAACCCAGATAATCGTGGGTAAGTACAATAAAGAAATAAACAGAGTGAGAGGGAAGACAGTCATGGGAGAGAAGGAGGGGGTTAGGAGGTGCTTGCCAGGCAAAGCCAACAGAGATTCAGGATTCAGATCTCAGGTTAAATGCTTCCTCCCCAGCAAAGCCCTTCCCGACCTCCCAGGTGAGGTGGTACCCTAGGGCTGATATCCTAACAACCAGTCAGTGCTTTTTCTAACACATCATAATCACAGCTAAGTAAACGTATGATTGGCTGCCTGGTGTCCCTTTCTCTCCCTTCAAGCTCCTTAGGGACTGAGGCTTGCCCTGTTCATACATCCAGTGCCCATAACAGCGGCTGTAGGCTCTCAATCAATATTGTTAGACAGAAACCAAGAGTCCGGCTAAATGGTTTCCAGCTTCCAAATCCCGCAAATCTAATCAGAGCAATTCCCGAGAACAAATCCTTATACTGTAGATATGTTTAGGATGTATGCTTTTTCACTACATAATGAGCGTTAGTTTTAATATTGAAAATGCTAATGAGAATGTTAGAAAAACTCTACCGGTGATGGAAGACTGCGGTGTCTGAGGGCAAACAATTATTTCAGTGATAGTATCACTATTAGCTAAAATTCATAAGGAAATCCACTAGAAAACAACAAATGAATTTTTAAAACTTCAGTGTAAACAAAGCAAACAGCATCAGGTAGGTTCAACATTCTGGGCCAATGGAGGCTACAAGTGGGTGGAAAGCTGGAATATCTGGCAGTCCTGGTCCTGAGATGCCACCAGATTTCCAACCCCACATCCTGCAATGTCACGTGAGAAGTGAGCTGTACTTTAATGGTCAAAGTCAAGGTGTCATCTTGACCAAGACTTGTTGCCTGTCCCATTTGATAAATTTGACTGAAAGCTTCTGGCTTTAGGTAAAGGATTTTGTTTTCAATTTTATTTCCTTTCGACATCTTTCCTCTTTTCTCTAATTTTCGTCTTGTGATAAGAGTCTGGGAGCCTAGCCTATATGTGAATTCAATTTCCTGGGATTTCACAGATTTGTCAGGAGAGAAGTGGAAGATTTGCTTGGACTCCTCTTGCCCTTTTACAAGAGCCTGTGGTTTCCCCAACACTCCTTGGTCCCCCCATGTGGCTGCTGTGTGGCCCTAGGGGAGTGGCTGGAGCTTTTAAGATCTAAGCTCTGGGGCTTCCCTGGTGGCGCAGTGGTTGGGAGTCCGCCTGCCGATGCAGGGGACGCGGGTTCGTGCCCCGGTCCGGGAGGATCCCGCATGCCGCGGAGCGGCTGGGCCCGTGCGCCATGACAGCTGAGCCTGCGTGTCCGGAGCCTGTGCTCCGCGATGGGAGAGGCCACAGCAGTGGGGGGCCCGCGTGCCACAAAAAAAAAAAAAAAAAAAAAAGATCTAAGCTCTGTCTGGGCCCAAGTCCAACAAATCACAGAAGGCTCAGACTAGAAAAAAGAAAAAAATGTCCTGATGGTGCAGTTCTGCCTCAAAGGTCATCTCCTTCTGATTCTCCTGGTATTCCAATCACATCAATGAACGCGGGGTCCTGGGAACACCAACAAGCCCCCTCTAGAGTGGGGTTTTTGGAGAACCAGGAAAGAGGAAAGAATTATACACCACTTTCTGCATTTACTGAAAATGTTTAGTTTCTAAACTGTGTATGTGGTGGGACATGTGTGTGTGTGAGTGACAGCTGACTCTCAGGAAAATATGAATATTACCACATGGGAACAATCCCAAGGGAAAACCACAAAGAGACATTTCAAAAAACGTTCATATTTCAAGAAAATTTGTATTTTCTCCTCCAGAGAAATAAAGGACCTGTGAATAGTAACTCTAAAAATACACAGGATGGCTCTGTTAGTTTAAAGGGGAATGGATGAGATATAGCCAACTTCAAGTATTTTTTCCCAAATCATATAAAAGGGGAGAAGAAAAACACTGAGTTAGTTTTGAACCTGGAGACTTAAATAATTACCATCATTAAAACAAACTGCTTCAGAATCTGAGTCATTTGAGGTTCCTGCCCAACTGGCAATAGCTTGAAAAGAATGCGGAAGCACATGTTTTCTTCCAGCTCATAGAACACAATTGTAAATTGTGCCCACTGTCTTGAGCTTGCTAGCCCGGCTGCATACCTGGAAGAAGCAACTGGCAGACATCAATTCCATGCCGTTTATATACAAGGGAAGAAAATAGGAATCGAGGGGCAGGTCCCATGTCCTCAAGGAGCTAAATAAACACTCAGGTTGGAAAGATGAAGCACAGAGTTTACGCATGAAAAATGAATAGAACAGCAACACTGTCTTCCCCAATAAATTTCCATAATGGGCTGGGTTTCTTGAGGGAAAGAAAATTGAAAAATAAGGATAAAAAGAGAAAACGAACATTACTTGCAGTATATATTCTGGAGCACATATTTATTTGAAAGACCAATCAACTGCCTAGAAGAGAAGTCTTCTCCCTGTAATATATACATATTTTAACTGATGATGAAAGGAAAACATTCGTGGGGCTTTCATCAGTTCTCCGACGGAAGCAACCCAGTTCCTCACAGCTGACCCAAGCTGGTCTGGAAACATGGATCCCTACTGTTCATTAAAGATACTCATATTGAACACTTACAGAGCACCAGGCCTTGTGCTAAGCAACAGGGTAGAGATGAAGAGGTCCCAATCCTTGCCTTCAATTCAGACGTTTTTTTTCTTGGCAGCTTGCAAGATCTTAGTTCCCTGACGAGGGATTGAACCTGGGCCCTCGGCAGTGAAATCACAGAATCCTAACCATTACAGTCAGATTTCATCCCGAAATTATGATGCAATACGGTATGTGCAATAAAACAGAATTTTATATGAACTGTATTGGCAACATGGTGGGTTGGCTCCACCACTTACAACCCAAATGACACTGGACAAATTAGTCATTCTCAAGCCTGTTTCTTCATCTGTAAAACGAGGGTAATGTGAGTATCCACCTCGGGTCTAGTGTATAGTAGAGGATAGTAAATATAGTCACCATTCGTTATTTTTATTAGTTGTTATTATTATGTTAGCTAGGCAATGGGAGGAAAGATTAGTTCAACAGGTAGAAAACCAGCCCAAAGGAATACTCAAAGCACTTGTGAATATGCAGTATCTATTTTTCTGGAATGAAACTGATTCATATTTTACAGAGGGGCAGTTCCTCCTCTGCAAAATGAGAGTAATTCCCATTTTGTAGCATTATGAGAATTTCCTGATAATAAACGTCAAGTTCCAGGGTGCAGGAGCCCACCCAATGGGAGCTAGTGTTCCGCATGGGGACATTCTGAGCAATCGGGAAAAGTGGGCAAGGGCTCGGCTCCGGCCTTCCGCCGTCCAGGACCGCTGGACATCAGTCCCTGTCTGTGTCCGCCGTCAGGTCCTGCGTTTGGGCGGAATGTCCACAGGCTCCGGCTTCTCCCTGCACCGGGCAGGAAGCTCCTACCCTGCCAGGCCTGTCTGGCGTGCGGCCCCGCCTCCGTGCAGCGGTTCCCCACGGGCCGCACAGAGAGGGCCTCCCCGACAAATCTCACAAAGACGAAAACCAACAAACGTCCCTTATTGGAGCGACCAGCCTTCTCGGAAGGCGATGCGGTCCGGTCTCGCCTTCCACTCACTACCCAGACCGTACACCAGGTCTCCCATAGCAACTGCCGTCAATAGCAACTAGCGCCCCCGCCAGGCCAGTGCCCTCTGCGCAGGCGCAGAAAGGGGCGGGCAGAAGGCTTCCGCTCGCGCCCAGAGTCCCTCGCAAGCAAGGGGCGGTGCCTGCGTGATGGCGTCATGGGGTGAGGTCTCTGGAGGCGGGAAGAGGCGGCGGGAGAATGGAGGCGCAGGAGAGTGGCGGTGGCAGTGGCGAGTGCGGGGCCCAGGACCCTGACCCGGCCCCCAGCAAGGCCCCCGGCAGTGCCGGCCAGTACGAGCTGCCGTGGTGAGGATCCAGGCCATCAACGATGGGTTCTCTGGACATGTGGGTGGGCGAGTGGCGGGCCGTGTGTCCCGGGGTAACCAGGGGCGGGAGCTCATTTGGCGGTCACCTGAGAGGAGCAGGAGGCCCCGGGGTGGTGTCCAGTAGATTATTATTTGAAGAAGGCAAGGGATGTGGGTCGCTAAGCCCGCCTGGTGTGGAGAGTGACCAGTCTGAACTCTGGAAGCGGGGTCTTGGTCAGAACAATGCTAATTGTGATAATAGCCGCTCGCTGCGACCACCCACGGTGCACCAGGCGCTGTGCCAGCCGCGACTCTGATGGTCGCTCGGCGGGAAGTGTCGGACGCAGATCCGGAATCGGGATGGTGTGAAGGCACCCGCCTGTTTTCCGTGGCTAGCTCACTTTAAATAGCAACATCCTGGGCAGCTGGGAGGAAAGGTGACTTGGGAAGTCACCTGCCAACAGGCGCAGGTGTAGGGCAGGCTCTCCACTCGGTTTCCACTCCCTGTGCGCACCTCTCGGAACTCTCCACCGGGCGTGGGAATGGTTTCCTCCCTGTCCGCTGCGTATTCCCATCCCTCCAGCCCACCCCTCTTCTTGGCGAGACCAGATACCTAAATGATGGGCAGTATAGCTTACTGGAATATCTACGCTGCGCTATCCAGTCCCCCCGCCACTAGCCACATGGGTCTGATGCTAGTCCGAATTGAGATGGGCTTGTAAGTGTACAATACACGCCGTATTTCAAGGACTTAGTTTAAAAAAAGCTCATTAGTAATTTTTATATCGATTACATGTTGAAAATGATAATATTTTGAATATATTAGGTTCTCTAAATTATATTAGTAACATAACTTCACCCATTTTCTTTTTACCTTTTTAAATGTGACTGTGAGAAAGTTTAAGGTTACATATGTGGTTTGCATTATAATTTTCACACGACCCGATTTTAGATGCTTAAGATACTTCAGTGTGCGAAACAAATCCTGTTGTCACAGAGCTTACATTTGATAGAGAAAGACAAAGTAAAAAATGAACCAGTAGACATAGAATATATTTGATGGTGACAGCTTCTGTGGAGTAAATCGCTATGGTGGTCAGGGAAGGCCTCTGATGAGATGATATTTGAGTAAAGACCTGAATTGAGGAAAGAAGCCATGTGGCCATGGAGGCAGAGAGAGCTTTCAGTCAGGGAGCAGCTATGAAGGTCCTGAAGGAGTAGTATGTTTGCCTTGTTCAAAGTCTAGCTGAGAGGGACTTCCCTGGTGGCTCAGTGGTTAAGAACCTGCCTGCCAATACGGGGGACACGGGTTCGAGCCGTGGTCCGGGAAGAACCCACATGCCGCGGAGCAACTAATCCCGTGCGCCACGACTACTGAGCCTGCGCTCTAGGGCTTGCGAGCCACAACTACTGAGGCCGTGTGCCACAACTACTGAAGTCCTGGCGCCTAGAGCCCGTGCTCTGCAACAAGAGAAGCCACTGCAAATGAGAAGCCCGTGGACCACAACGAAGAGTAGCCCCCGCTCACTGCAACTAGAGAAAGCCCGTGCAACGAAGACCCAATGCAGCCAAAAATAAATAAATAAAATAAATTTATTTAAACAGAACAAAATCTAGCTGAGATTTCAGCTCCAAACATTCCCAGGTGGCGATTCCTCCCTCCTCTGGGCTTCCACAGGCCATGGTTTCCATAAGCAGTTTAGCATTGTAGTGGGATTTGCCAAGCTGTATCTCCCCTCTAGTGGGAAAGCCCTTGAGAGCAAGAACTATGTTTTGCTCATGTCTGCACCTTCTACCTTCTTCCCGTTGAGTGTGCTAACTCCTTACACACCGCTTGGCACCTGGAGGGGGCTGAGCATGAAGAATAAATGAGGAGGAACAAGCATGCTCCATCTGCAGACCTTGGAAGAGAGCTGTCTCTGTTTTCCGCAGTATGTGGCAAAAAAGCTTTGCATGCAGCTCCTTCTGGTGCAAAACCAGTACCTGGAGGGAGTACAAGCTAAGAGTAAATCAGGGACTATAATAAAGGCAGAGGAAGTCTGATGGTCAAATCATTGCAAATCTAGTTCCACTTCTATTCTCAGAGCCAGAGAAAGTCACTTTCTCTCATAGCATAGCTTGCTTAGTAGAAGTATTGGTCTGAAAAGGCCACTAGGCTGTCCAGTCCACACAGCCTAGTAGGATCACAGGATAGGCCTGCGGTTTCTGTCTAGTCAGCCATGCTGGGCACCTGGCACAAGTCTGCAGACACTGGCAGTTAAAGGATGAGAAGGGGCCCAGTTGCATCCATGTCTGTCAGAACAAATGGTTTCAGTGCTGCGTGCGCTGGACCTCTGTTGTGATGGGCAGACTGTGTGGCCACACAGTGTCACATTTCTCCAGATGGCCTGCTCTGGCCCTTCTCCAGCACCAGCAGGTGTTTCTCTGCTGTGGCGGGTTTGAAGTCTTTGGTGCACAATTCTCATGCGCTTGACTTTTCAAATGGCACTCGGGCATCTCTTTAAATTTAAAACCTGCAACCATTTGATGTATTTTTATTGAATGTATATCATCTTTTGACAAAGCTCCCAGAATTGCCCTTTAGTGCTTTCTTTTGGGAAGCGTGAAAATAGCCGTGCCAACATCTTTATGCATTTTCTTAAAAACAGGGTTGAAAAATATAGACCAGTAAAGCTGAATGAAATTGTCGGGAATGAAGACACAGTGAGCAGGCTGGAGGTGAGTTTTTAAAAGAGGATCTTACATCTCATTATTGTGACTTTGATAAGCTCAAGGCATTTGGAGGAAGACAGCCAAGGTAGCGAGCTGGGGGCTGGCCACAAATCCAGAAGAATTAAGGGAATGGGAGACATTCAGTTTGGAGAGGAATCTAGAAGACAGGGTGGGAAACTTCAGATGTTTGAAGGACTGGCTCATTGGAGAGGGCTTATCAGACTTGTTTTGTATTCTTCAAGAGCAGAGGTGGCAAACTTTGTCTGTAAAAGCCGATGAATAGATATTTTAGGCTTTGCAAACCATATAAAGTCTTTGTCAAATATTCTCTGTATTTTTTTTGGCCGTGCCGCGTGTGCAGCTCGTGGGATCTTAGTTCCCCTACCAGGGATTGAACCCGCGCCCCCTGCAGTGGAAGCGCAGTCTTAACCACTGGACCCCCAGGGGAAGTCCCTTTGTTTATTTTTTAAACAACCCTTTAAAAATGTGAAAACCATTCTTAGCTAGGGAGCTTATAAAAACAGGTCTCAGGGTGGACTACCCCCACTCCCCCCACCTTCCTCTCCATCATAATTGCTGAGCCCTGCCTAAAGCAACTAAGTGACAAGGCAACCGACTTCAGGATGACACAAACCGGGAGCAAGCAGAAACAGTCAGCAGTAGAGGAAGCTTTGAATTCCCAGCCCTAGAGGTCTTTAGGCAGAATCTAGAAGCCCAGCTATCTGAGACATGACAGAGGCGGTCTCTGTAGTAACTGGGGCTTAGACTTCAATAGCTACCAAGGTATTTATTTATTTTACAGACTTATTCATTTGGCAAATATTTGAATATCTTCTCTGGGCTAGTTACGGTGCGGTTTTAGGAACTGTTGATATAATGGTGAACAGACTAAACCTGAGCCCAGTTCTGCGTGGGATTTACAGTTGAACCGGGGCAGCATTAAAGTCGGCAGGCCATGTGATAAGCACTCTGCCAGGGGACGTACAGGGGCTTTGGGGGCATGTGGGTTAGTTCAGGGAAGAGTTAACCTGCTTACAGAGTCCTAATTCCCAAATGGAAGAAGTGACACCAAAGCTAAGTGAGTGGGAGTCAGCCAGACTTGGGGGGTCGGGGGTGGAGAGAGGGGAGGCAGCAGGAACAGCATGTGCAAAGGCCCGGAGGTGAGAGAGAGCATAGCTTATTCTATGGCGGTGGGGGGTGGGGAATGCCATCTGAGTGGAATACAGAGTAGTGCTTTACTGACATGGATGGCATACGAATCGCCTGGGGATGCTGTCAAAATTCAAGTTCTGATCTGGTAGTTCTGGAGTGGGGTCAGAGAGTCTGCATTTCTGACAAGCTCCCAGGAGATGCTGATGCTGCTGGTCTGTGGAGCCTACCAAGTAACGAGGCTGTAGAGCACATGTACTGGGGGGTGGGAGGGGTGAGCTGGTGAGGTGGGCAGGGCCTCGCGAGCGAGGTTTAAGGGTTTGAGTCATCCAAGAGTTCCAGTCAGGTAAGAGTGTTTTCAGAGATGTGTATTTTAGAAAATTGGTTATGTTACTGTATGGGAAATGGATTGGAGTGGGGCAAGATTAGATGCAAGGAGACCAGCCAATGGCCTGTTGAAAGCAATGCAGGCAAGAGGTAATGGGCTAAGAAGAATCTAAAAAAGAGTGGATATATGTACATGTATAACTGATTCACTTTGCTGCACACCTGAAACTAACACAACATTGTAAATCAACTATACTCCAATAAAAATTAAAAAAAAAAATAATTTTTACAAAAGAGGTCACGGGCTAAGAAAGTGGCAGTGGGCTGAAGAGAAGGAAGTGGTCTCCAGATAAAGGAGAAAGAGGGGCCCAGCCTTTGTCATTGAGGGGCTGCATGGGGTGAGGGAGAAGGCCAATCAGGGATGACGGTGACCTCCAGGTTCCTGGTGTGGGCGGGAGGGTTGATGCCGTTGACAGTGCATGGAAGGGGAAACATGGGGGGACCTCAGGTTTATAGGGGAAAGTGTTGAATTCAGTTTTGAGTGTGTTGACCTGAGTGTTCCACGGGGCATCCACATGGAACAGGTTGTAGCCATGTTTGCTACACGGGCCTGTGTGGTTGGGGAGACCTGGCTCCTCAAGTTTGCAGATGAACCAGTTTTAACGAGCATTTCTTCCTTCAGGTCTTTTCAAGAGAAGGGAATGTGCCCAATATCATCATTGCTGTAAGTACTGGGTCCTGGCCCTGTCGGACATCTTGGAGGCTCGTTTTCGCCCCCTCTTAAGCGCTTTCTCATGTACAGAGCTTCCTCCTCAGAGAAGCCCATGACCACCAGAGCCCATACCATTCCCACCTCCCACTGGTCAGGCCTGCGGGTTGGTTGCTGTACTGATTTGGTGTGTGCTATGGGTTGGGAGGGCTCTAGGCAGGGGCTGAGCACAAAGAGTGGTGAGCAGTAAATCGGGAGTTCTCGTTTCGTTCATTCTGTTGGCTTGAAGCACTTACTGGAGATCTCATTCCTAGGGCCCCCCAGGAACCGGCAAAACTACCAGCATCCTGTGTTTGGCACGAGCCCTGCTGGGCCCGGCCTTCAAGGATGCCGTTTTGGAGCTCAATGCCTCAAATGACAGGTACACCTGGGAGTTAGGCCTGAAGGGTGGCGAGTGTTTTACATTTTGAGCTGTTATAGAAACAACATTTTTCAGGTCTCTGTAGCACTTATAGAGCTTGTTTGGCTGGCTTTGTGTTTTCCTTTAATCTTTCCAATGAAAGAGAATGGGGATTGCTGGCTTGTTGATGTGGCATCGTAAGCACTTGACTTATTGGTTTAGTTTTTTTTTTTTTAATGGAGATTTTAAAAATTACTTTTAATTGTGCTGAAATACACATCGCATAAAATTTACCATCTTGGGACTTCCCTGGCGGCGCAGTGGCTAAGAATCCGCCTGCCAATGCAGGGGACACGGGTTCAAGCCCTGGTCCGGGAAGATCCCACATGCCGCGGAGCAACTAAGCCCGTGCGCCACAACTACTGAGTCCGCGCTCTAGAGCCCGTGAGCCACAACTACTGAGCCCGCGTGCCTAGAGCCCGTGCTCTGCAACAAGAGAAGCCACCGCAATGAGAAGCCTGCCTGCCGCAACGAAGAGTAGCCCCCGTTCGTTGCAACTAGAGAAAGCCCGTGCGCGGTGATGAAGACCCAACACAGCCAAAAATAAATAAATAAAATAAATAAATTTATTTAAAAAAAAATTTACCATCTTCACCATCTTTAAGTGTACAGTTCTGTGGCGTTGGGTACATTCACGTTGTTGTGCAACAGATCTCCAGAACTGTTTTCTTCTTCCCAAACGGAAACTCTGCACCCGTTAAACAACAACTCCCCATTCCCCTCCCCCAGCCCTTGGCACCCACCATGTGACTTTCTGTCTCTATGAATTGACTATTCTAGGAACCGCACACAAGTAGAATCATACAGCATTTGTGCTTTTGTGACTGGCTTATTTCACGCATATTTCAGGTTCCTCCATGTTGTAGCACGTGTCAGAATGTCCCTCCTTTTTCAGGCTGAGTGGTATATACCACTATGTTTTGTTTATCCATTCAGCTGACAATGGACACTGGCGTTGCTTTTATCTTTTGAATATTATGAACTGTGAATAATACTGCTATGAGCAGGAGTGCACAAATATCTCTTTGAGACCCTGCTTTCAATTCTTTCAGATATAGACTCAGAAATGGAATCACTGGATTATTTGGTAATTCTATGTTTCAATTTTTGAGGGACCGCCGTACTGTTTTCCTTAGTGGCTGCACCATTTTACATTCCCATCGACAGCACACAAGGGCTCCCTTTTCTTCACATCCTCACCAACACTTGTTATTTTCTGTTGTTGTTAGTAACCATCCTAATGGAGGTGGGCTGCTGGTTTACTTTTTTTTTTTTTAATTTATTTTTGGCTGCGTTGGATCTTCATTGCTACACGCTAGCTTTCTCTAGTCACATCGAGCGGAGGCTACTCTTCATTGAGGTGCACGGGCTTCTCACTGTGGTGGTTTCTCTTGTTGCAGAGCATGGGCTCTAGAGCGCAGGCTCAGTAGTTGTGGCACACGGGCTTAGTTGCTCCACGGCACGTGGGATCTTCCCGGACCAGGGATCGAACCTGTGTCCCCTGCATTGGCAGGCGGATTCTTAACCACTGCGCCACGAGGGAAGTCCCTACTACTTTTATTTTTTTTAACATTAAATTTACCATCTTAACCTTTTTGCTTTTATTAATTAATTAATTTATTTATTTATTTTCGGCTGCACAGCGTGGCTTGTGGGATCTTAGTTCCCCGACCACGGACTGAACCCCCGCCCATGGCAGTGAGAGAGCCGAGTCCTAACCACTGGACTGCCAGGGAACTCCCCCAGTTTACTTTTTAGACATGGGATAGTAGAGGATTATAAAATGAGGACCTGTTGAATAAAATGTCTGCAAAGTCTGCCTTTGGTTATTCCCTGAGGACGTGGTTCTCTACTCTGCAACGTTTTCCTGGTTTTGATGATGTATACAGACCTGAAATGGGCTCTGTCGTGTGAATGCAACTAACAGCTCATCGGATGCCATGAACACGCCTGCAGTTGAGCCGTTTTGTAAATGCCGATTCCAGATAGCAGATACCAGCAGAAAATTTTGGTGGCTCTTAACTTTGTTGAAGAGAGAATGGCCCATAATTGCAAATATTTTCAATTTTAGATTTATTAGAGGGATCCATACAATGGCTTTTTTTGGTTCCTTTATCATCTATTTCCTTCCAGGAACCTTATTATACACACCTGCCTTCAGCTTTTGATCAGTTACAAACTGTACCCTGTAAATGTGGATGTTCGAATATCAAAGATGAACGAATACTGTCACATGTTCTTTTTTTTTTTTAATACAGTTATTTATTTATTGGCTGTGTTGGGTCTTCGTTGCTGCTCTCAGGCTTTCTCTAGTTGCGGCGAGCGGGGGCTACTCTTCATTGTGGCACTCGGGCTTCTCATTGCAGTGGCTTCTCTTATGGAGCACGGGCTCTAGGGTCATGGGCTTCAGTAGTTGTGGCACGCAGGCTCAGTAGTTGTGGCTTGAGGGCTTAGTTGCTCCACGACATGTGGGATCTTCCCAGACCAGAGCTCGAACCCGTGTCCCCTGCATTGGCAGGCAGATTCTTAACCATTGCGCCACCAGGGAAGTCCTGTCACATGTTCTTTTAGCAAAACAGGATGGTCCAAGTTCTTGTCACAAGACATTGGAGAGCTAAGTCCTTCCTGTTGAGTGACTAACTGGGTGAAAATATGTTTCGTTTTTGTCCTTAGAAATATGTTCACGCCTTGATTCTTAAGTTTGAGAAAATTCATGGAGGATTTTGGCATCTGAAGACTCGTAGTCTAAAATTTTGTTTATGTGATCTATTTCACCATCAGCATCATCAGAGTCTAGAATCCTGCTGTCTCTCTACTTCATTTTCTGACTTGTCTTATAATGATGAGACATCTTCCACTGTCATTTCTTTTCTCTGTGACATTATGGGTAGAAAATGAAAAATTTTTGAATTTTTGGCTGTGGTCAATGAAAGCTTTCAGATGGTGTATCTGAACTACTTTTGTATCTTCCAGAAAGATAATGTAGTACCTCACAAAACAATAAAAAACCGAAGGATGAGGCAGTAGTAACAGTTTTTCCGAATATTGCATCGATCTTCTAAGCATTTCCATCATTCTTTCATTTTATTATTTTAGTCTTTTTTAGCATAGTTGGGAATAATTGATGAGTAATGATGAAATAAGTACTAGGATGATGAAGTAGCAAACATTTTAAGATACAGGAAGCATAAGATTACTGAGACCCCCAAAATGTATCTTAGATTATAAAGAATCCAATGGACCCGTATGATAATTGCAAGATAAAATGAGTTTCATTCTGTTTTTAAAAAGTAAGTAAATTTTTTCCTTTGTTCTTCTGAAGACCTCCAAGAAGGAATAAAAGTAATGAATGACAATCCTTATAAATAGTTAGATTGCCCAAAAAGAAACTTAAAAACTAAAGTTGGGTCCATGATGGTGTCCTGAGGGTTAAAAGTCCCCGTGAAGGTGAGTGAATTGGTCTCAGAAGGTGACAATAATATTGTGGCTCATTGTTTCAGGGGCATTGACGTTGTGAGGAACAAAATCAAAATGTTTGCCCAACAGAAAGTCACCCTTCCCAAAGGGCGACACAAGATCATCATCCTGGATGAAGCGGACAGGTAGAGTGCTTCGCCAAGAATTTTTTACCTTGATCTCTAAGTCTTTTATCTGGCTGTATTAAATCAGGAGGAAACGCTCTCACCTTTGCACTTCTGTGACAGATTTGCTTATCACATCTTCAAAAGAGGTTTAATAGAGGCCTGAGCCCTAAACCTGATCTTAATTAAGTAATTTACAAACATTTGTCTAAGACAGTCAATGTGTTTGTTCCAGCATCACTTACATGCATAATTTAAATGAATTTTTTAAATTGTGGTGAAATATATCTAACAGAAAAGTTACCATTTCAGCCATTTTAAAGCGTACCATTCAGCGGCATTTAGTACATTCACAACATTGCACAATCATTATCAGTATAAATGAAAAAATGTTAAGCGCCGTTTAGAACAATAACAGTAACTCATGTTCTTTGAAGAAACTTTTAAAGGTATGGGTAATTTCTTGCTTTATTTTATCTCCTGTTTTTCTACACTGTGCATTTTTACATAGTTGAGATCATAATAATTATAATTTTTGTATCCTGGTTTTGCGTTTTAACGCAAAAAGCAGAGTTCCATGTTATTGTAATCTTGTTGTGAACATAGGTTTTGTTTTTTTTTTTTGCGGTACGCGGGCCTCTCACTGTTGTGCCCTCTCCTGTTGCCGAGCACAGGCTCTGGACGCGCAGGCTCAGCGGCCATGGCTCACGGGCCCAGCCGCCCCGCGGCATGTGGGATCTTCCCGGACCGGGGCACAAACCCGCGTCCCCTGCATCGGCAGGCAGACTCTTAACCACTGCGCCACCAGGGAAGCCCTGAACATAGGTTTTAATTGCTGTATTCTGTTCCATTTTGTTCCATAGTGGGGATACACCTTAACCATTTTACTGTAACATTATTTACAGCAGTAATAGCCGCTAACATTGATCCAGCACGTATCTGTAAGCATTTGCATTATGCTAGGTGCTCTGCTACACATTTTACATGTTACTGTTTTATTTAATTGTCATAACAACCCTCTGAGGTGGGCAGTAGCATTATCTCCTTATAGGCGATGACATTGAGGCTCAGATAATTTGCCTAAAGGTCCCACAGGACTGGATGAAGGAGCTTTGAGGTGAGCCCAGGCAGCCTGCCTGCAGGGCCTCTGCTCTGTCCGTGTGCAGCCTGTCTGCGTGAGACCCACACGGGGTCCCGGAGAGAGACTGAGCATGCCCAATCAGGAGTGTAGGCTTCCCAGGGTCCGTAGGAGGGGATTTGTGTCCTGTGGACCTTGGGTCCCAGCTGCAAACCGCCCCTTGTGTTTTTCTTCTCAGCATGACTGATGGAGCCCAGCAAGCCTTGAGGAGAACCATGGAAATCTACTCCAAAACGACCCGCTTCGCTCTTGCTTGTAATGCTTCGGATAAAATCATAGGTGAGGGTCAGCTCTGCATGGCTCGGGGTCCACGTGCTGTTCACGTTGGCTCTTTAGCAGCAGAAGAGAAGGGGCTTTTTGATCACCTGCCGTGGGCTGAGCGCTGTATAGTCCGCTTTCTCATTTAATCTTATATAATTCTATGAGGAGGTATTATTAGCTCCACCTTAGAGATGAAAAAAACATGGAGCTCAGAGAGGTTGAATAGTTTGCCCAAAGTCTCACAGCAAGCCGAAGAGCTGGGATTGGAACCCCAGGTCTGTCTGACTCTTGGATCACAGGCAGGTGTGATGTTTTGGTATCCCGTGCGCAGTGTCACGGTCACGGCCCCCGCGCAGATGTGCTCTTGCGCTTTCTGTGTGTCCGGAGCACTTGGCACACAGTGTGTCTGCATGCTGGGTTTTGTCGTTACCAGGAGTTGCCTCCCCTGTGAAACCTCGCACGCTCATCTTCCTGACCTGGCGTTGGTCCTTCCAGCCCCCTCCCTCCCCCCCTCCTTCCCTCCCAGCAGTCTGTCTTCTTCCTCACTGCTTTGAGCCCTCCCGCCTCAGTGTCTCAACTTCCTGCTGGTTTCACATCCTTCCCTTTCTGATACAGACTGTGAGCACAGCCCAGCTTTTTTTCACTCTCTCTGACTATTTCTCACAGCTCTCTTGTCCCTCTGTCCTTGCCTCACATCCGCCCCGCTAACCCCCAGCCTGTGTAAGCTCAGCCGTCCGGCTCCTCCACCCAGACAAGCATGGTACCGACCATGATGCCCCCCAAAGTCATTGACTCCAGCCCCAGTGGGCTCGTGGCCCTTGACCTTCCCCAGGTCATGAATCTATTCCACAAACATCTACTCTGTTCCTAGTAGGTGTCGGGCACCGGGCTAGTGCAGAGCAGACAGAGTTTAACAGGAAACGTTCTCTACCTTCAAGACACCCATGGTGCAGTGGAGGAAACTGTGCTAAAAGGTCTTGATTTATGGCCGCGTATGTTGCTTGTCTCCTTACCAGTGGTAGGACAGGTCTGGGAGGGCGGGAGCCGTGTTATACTTAAAGAACTGCCCCCACCCCCCAGTGCATTTTTTTTTTAATTTAAATTTTTATTATAAATTTTACTGTAAAAGTGAAATGAACAATATCCTAGAAGTCAAAATTCTATCTACAGGTAATGGCAAGAGTAGGGAAACTACAGAGTCCAGATTTTACCAAATAATGTTCAACTTTCCAGATCAGCAGCTTAACTGGAAACAACATGAACTTTGTAAGCAAACAGATTTCAAATCAAATCCCTGCTCCCCTAACTAACAACTGAGTGGTACCAAACAAGGTAGCTGTGCTATCTTTTTTTTAAAACATCTTTATTGGAGTATATAATTGCTTTACAATGTTGTGTTAGTTTCTGCTGTATAACAAAGTGAATCAGCTATATGTATACATATATCCCCATATTTCCTCCCTCTTGCATCTCCCTCCCACCCTCCCTATCTCACCCCTCTAGGTGGTCACAAAGCACGGAGTTGATCTCCCTGTGCTATGCAACTGCTTCCCACTAGCTATCTATTTTACATTTGGTAGTGTATACATGTCAATGCTACTCTCTCACTTTGTCCCAGCTTACCCTTCCCCCTCCCCGTGTCCTCAAGTCCATTCTCTACGTCTGCGTCTTTATTCCTGTCCTGCCCCTAGGTTCATCAGAACCATTTTTTTTTTTTTTAGATTCCATATATATGTGTTAGCATACGGTATTTGTTTTTCTCTTTCTGACTTACTTCACTCTGTATGACAGACCCTAGGTCCATCCATCTCACTGCAAATAACTCAATTTTGTTCCTTTTTATGGCTGAGTAATATTCCATTGTATATATGTGCCACATCTTTATCCATTCACCTGTCAGTGGACACTTAGGTTGCTTCCATGTCCTGGCTATTGTAAATAGAGCTGCAATGAACATTGTGGTACATGACTCTTTTTGAATCATGGTTTTCTCAGGGTATATGTCCAGTAGTGGGATATCTGGGTCATATGATAGTTCTGTTTTTAGTTTTTTTAGGAACCTCCATACTGTTCTCCATAGTGGCTGTATCAATTTACATTCCCACCAACAGTGCAAGAGGATTCCCTTTTCTCCACACCCTCTCCAGCGTTTATTGTTCGTAGATTTTTTGATGATAGCCATTCTGACCGGTGTGAGGTGATACCTCATTGTAGTTTTGATTTGCATTTCTCCAATGATTAGTGATGTAGAGCATCCTTTCATGTGTTTGTTGGCAATCTGTATATCTTCTTTGGAGAAATGTCTATTTAGGTCTTCTGCTCCTTTTTGGATTGGGTTGTTTGTCTTTTTGATATTGAGCTGCATGAGCTGCTTATATATTTTGGAGATTAATCTTTTGTCAGTTGCTTCCTTTGCAAATATTTTCTCCCATTCTGAGGGTTGTCTTTTCGTCTTGTTTATGGTTTCCTTTGCTGTGCAAAAGCTTTTAAGTTTCATTAGGTCCCATTTGTTTATTTTTGTTTTTATTTCCATTTCTCTAGAAGGTGGGTCAAAAAGGATCTTGCTGTGATTTATGCCATAGAGTGTTCTGCCTATGTCTTCCTCTAAGAGTTTTATAGTGTTTGGCCTTACATTTAGGTCTTTAATCCATTTTGAGTTTATTTTTGTGTATGGTGTTAGGGAGTGTTCTAATTTCATTCTTTTACATGTAGCTGTCCAGTTTCCCAGTGCCACTTACTGAAGAGGCTGTCTTTTCTCCATTGTATATTCTTGCCTCCTTTATCAAAGATAAGGTGACCATATGTGCATGGGTTTATCTCTGGGCTTTCTATCCTGTTCCATTGATCTATATTTCTGTTTTTGTGCCAGTACCATACTGTCTTGATTACTGTAGCTTTGTAGAATAGTCTGGAGTCCGGGAGCCTGATTCCTCCAGCTCCATTTTTCTTTCTCAAGATTGCTTTGGTTATTTGGGGTCTTTTGTGTTTCCATACAAATTGTGAAATTTTTTGTTCTAGTTCTGTGAAAAATGCCATTGGTAGTTTGATAGGGATTGCATTGAATCTGTAGATTGCTTTGGGTAGTATAGTCGTTTTCACAATGTTGATTCTTCCAATCCAGGAACATGGTATATCTTTCCATCTGTTTGTATTATCATTAATTTCTTTCATCAGTGTCTTATAGTTTTCTGCATACAGGTCTTTTGTCTCCTTAGGTAGGTTCATTCCTAGGTATTTTATTCTTTTTGTTGCAGTGGTAAATGGGAGTGTTTCCTTAATTTCTCTTTCTGATTTTTCATCATTAGTGTAGGGGAATGCAAGAGATTTCTGTTCATTAATTTTGTATCCTGCTACTCTACCAAATTCATTGATTAGCTCTAGTAGTTTTCTGGTAGCATCTTTAGGATTCTCTATGCATAGTATTGTCATCTGCAAACAGTGACAGTTTTACTTCTTCTTTTCCAATTTGGATTCCTTTTATTTCTCTGACTGTTGTAGCTAAAACTTCCAAAACTGTGTAGAATGATAGTGGTGAGAGTGGGCAACCTTGTCTTGTTCCTGACCTTAGAGGAAATGGTTTCAGTTTTTCACCATTGAGAATGATGTTGGCTGTGGGTTTGTCATATATGGCCTTTATTATGTTGAGGTAGGTTCCCTCTATGCCTACTTTCTGGAGAGTTTTGATCATAAATCGGTGTTGAGTTTTGTCAGAAGCTTTTTCTTCATCTATTGAGATTATCTTTTTTTTTTTTTTTTTTTGCGGTACGCGGGCCTCTCCCTGTTGTGGCCTCTCCCGCTGCGGAGCACAGGCTCCAGATGCACAGGCTCAGCGGCCATCGCTCACGGGCCCAGCCGCTACACAGCATGTGGGATCTTCCCAGACCGGGGCACGAACCCATGTCCCCTGCATCGGCAGGCGGACTCTCAACCACTGCGCCACCAGGGAAGCCCCTATCATATGGTTTTTCTCTTTCAGTTTGTTAATATGCTGTATCACATTGATTGATTTGCGTATATTGAAGAATCCTTGCATTCCTGGGATAAACCCCACTTGATCATGGTGTATGGTCCTTTTAATGTGCTGTTGGATTCTGTTTGCTCGTATTTTTTTTTTTTTTTAATATTGACATATGTCGTGAATTTTTAAATTTATTTATTTATGGCTGTGTTGGGTCCTCGTTTCTGTGCGAGGGCTCTCTCTAGTTGTGGCAAGCGGGGGCCACTCTTCATCGCGGTGCGCGGGCCTCTCACTCTCGCGGCCTCTCTTGTTGTGGAGCACAGGCTCCAGAGGTGCAGGCTCAGTAATTGTGGCTCACGGGCCCAGTTGCTCCGCGGCATGTGGGATCTTCCCAGACCAGGGCTCGAACCCGTGTCCCCTGCACTGGCAGGCAGATTCTCAACCACTGCGCCACCAGGGAAGCCCTGTTTGCTTGTATTCTGTTGAGGATTTTTGCATCTATGTTCATCAGTGATATTGGCCCGTAGTTTTCTTTCTTTGTGACATCTTTGTCTGGTTTTGGTATCAGGGTGATGGTGGCCTCGTAGAATGAGTTTGGGAGTGTTCCTCCCTCTGCTGTATTTTGGAAGAGTTTGAGAAGGATGGGTGTTAGCTCTTCTCTAAATGGTTGATAGACTTCGCCTGTGAAGCCATCCCCCCAGTGCATTTTGCATAGGGCTATGCGTGGATGGGTCTGTTTTGTGATTTGAAACTGCAGTTATTGGTGGAGAAAGGTCTGGCCCTCCCTTTTCATGAAATTAATTTTTCTGGTCTATATCGGTAGCATTCTGATTATTTTTTAATTTCTAAAGGGATATAAGAACCATGTAAACCAAATCTCTAAAGAAATGTATTGCTTAGCTTTAGAGGAGATGGTTCATGATCAAATCACTGCAGAGCTGATTTTTGAAACTGTCAGTAACAACCTCACCTTAGCTCCTGGAGTTACACCAGTTAAGGGAGCGCTCTGCTTTCTTGGAGGAAGGCTGTGGCTGCTTTATTCTGACGTGTATCTGAATTCACAGCTTTTGGTACTTCTCCAAAGAGAAAAATCTATGAAAGGAAACTTCTAGTGTAGTTTGCATATTAATTGCTTTTAGATAAGAATTCCATTGTGGTTTTTTTGTTTTGTTTTGTTTTGTTTTATTTATTTTTTGGCCGCACAGCGTGGCACGTGGGATCCTAGTTCCCCGACCAGGGATCGAACCCAGGCCCCCCGCATTGGAAGTGCAGAGTCCTAACCACTGGACCACCAGGGAAGTCCCAAGAACTCCCGTTTCGAATTGGTCTTTCTCTTGTCTGTGCTGTTAAGCCAAATATGTAAATAAGGTTCTGTCATGAATCTTCCTGATTCCAGATAAATTGAAATGAGCTCTTAGGAAAGCCGTTCTTTGAAACGTCTCATCCATTGGATAGATGTTGAACACAGTATTTTATGTGCACAGCATCTCCTCTACCCAAGGCACAGTGGAGGCTACAGACCTGTATGAGGCTCTGTCCCTGCCCATCAGGGGCTCACACAAGGCGGGGGGTGCATCCCAAAGCCAGCAAGCCCTGAGCCATCTCAGGTCCTCCCTTTTCTGCTCACCACCACAGCCAGCCCCTCACCAGAATCAGATCCAAGGTCATCCCACCTCCCCAGTGTCTTGAGCCCCTACCCCTCCTTCCCTCACTCTAGGTCTGGCCTCAGTTTCTCCCCTTCACTGGTGCAGTGTCCCTGCAGCTTCTCTGCACCTGAGTCACCAGCTGGCTGCCGGGGTCTTCTCAGCACAGGTCTGACCCTGCCACTCCCCCACTGAGCCCTTCAGTGGTCCCTCATTGCCCACACAGCCACGCCCGCCCCCATCCTAGCACACAGGAGCCCATTACCCACAGCCTCATCTCCTTCTACCCTGTGTGATGCAGCTGCACAGTGCCTCACGGTTCCCCAAAGCCCCTGTGCCCTTTCATCACTCTTGCCTTTGAATGTGCTGTTCCTTTCGCCTTTCCAGCCTGGAAAGCTCGTCCCTAAAGGCCCAGCTCAGAACTCACCTCCACTGAGCTGATCGCTCTCTGGCTGGGCTCCTGGAGCCGTTCCTACAAACCTCTTCCATGGCCCTGTCCCAGGGTGTGGGAACGTCCCTGTTGATGCTCACTCCTCTACCCCGGCAAACCTAAGCTCTGAGGGGCCGGGGACTGGTCGTGGTGTTCGTCCACTGCATCCCTGGGGGAGGTAACTGGTTTCTTTAATGCAAATAAACGAACAGGAACATGTTCCTTGAAAGTGTATGTGAGAGCAAAGGAGGGGCGGTCACTTCAGTCTGGGGTGGTCTGGGCCGGCTCCACGAGGAGGAGGGTGGGAGAAGAGCTTTTTCAATGACGGTTGTGATTTAAGTGGGGAGAAGCTGGGAAAGGACATCCTGGGTGGGAAGAGCTGCCAGGAGAGTACAGGTCGATTTTTCCATGGGAGGCACGCGGGCTTAGGAGAGGAGAGACGGGTGAGGTTTGCGGAAGATTTTATGTAGGAGGGTCAGAGGTGGTCTGTACTGTGACCTTGGTGGGCAGTTGAAGGGTCTGCCTGGGCAGGCAGAGGTGATGACGGGTCAACACATTTTGAGGAAAGCCAGTGGGGCAGCAGAGCACGATGGATCAGAGACCCACTCGGGGCGCGGAGATCATGGAGATGCTGTTGTCATGGTCTGAACTGAAGGTCAGGGATAGCACCCAGAATCCGGCATTCGTCCATCTGGTGGTTCTCATGTGCATCAGAATCTCCCGTGGAAGCTTAAAGAAGCCACGCAGGTGCCCTGTTCTCACCCCAGACTGGCTGGGTCGTGACCTGCCCAGAAGGGCCCAGACGTGCCTCATACCCGGTGGTTCAGGAGTCTACCTGCGCGTGCACTGACTCTCCTGTGGGCTGTGGCACGTGGCTGTCTCTATCCTGGAGGATCTTTCCCCCTTCTGGAAGCCCTGGCCAGCCAAGGTCAGCCTGGGCAGTCCTAGCTGAGGCCACTATTGGTTGATATTTTGAAATTGAGCCCTGTTGGCCAAGTCTCTCTTGAGCACTGCTGGGCAGGGGTTGTGGTGCCAGCATGGCCGGGCCACGTGGCTCTTGCGGCTGCTTCCGAGTAACTGAAGGACCGATGGGGTCACGCCGTGCTTTGCTGGGGAGCCTGACTCTCTTCCTGTCTCGTGCAGAGCCCATTCAGTCCCGGTGCGCAGTCCTCCGCTACACCAAGCTGACCGACGCCCAGATTCTTGCCAGGCTGCTTTGTGTCATCGAGAAGGAGAAGGTGCAGTACATGGACGATGGCCTGGAAGCCATCCTCTTCACCGCCCAGGGTGACATGAGGCAGGTGCGTGCGCCACCGCTTGGGCGCCGGCCTCCCGGGCTTGCTGCACCCCTCGTCTGGGGGGAGAGGGGGGCGACTGCTGCCTGGGGATGAGTGTAGCCAGACTGGGGAACGTTGACCCGATACACTGGTGGGGCCTCGGGCCAGTGGGGAGCAGGCCTGCAAGTAGGGGGGTAAGTTCGGATCCCAAGACGGGAGGTGGGGCGGGCAGAGACTGAAGATCACCCTGGCCTTGTTTCTGTTCCTCGACAGGCATTGAACAACTTGCAGTCCACTTTCTCGGGATTCGGCTTCATCAACAGTGAGAATGTGTTCAAGGTAAAAGCTGGCGTGGGCATCACAGTCGACAGAGCATCGTGTACCTGCCGGGGCCAGCAGAGGAGGGCGGGTGGGCGGTGCTGGGAGGAGGGGCACAGGCTCGCCCCTGCGGAGAGCAGGAGGGGCTTGGCTGTGGTGTGGTGTGGGTGGCGGACGTGCCCCGCTGCTGCGGCAGGCCCGGGGCTTCCACGTGTGTCCTGTTGGGCCCTCACACATCCCTGCTCACAGACGTTCTCATCATTTTGGGGCTGAGGAAGCAGGCCCGAGATCACGCTGAGGCTGGGGGCCCTGTCCAGGGCAAGCCTGCTCCTATTCCAGGTGGGAGATTGGCCCCCAAAGACCTCCCAGTTCTTAAGTGGGTTCAGAGAGTCCACTGGGCAGGTCATCTTCCCAGTGATGTAAGACAGGTGACTCGTGGCTTTGAAGCTGCCCCTTGCGTGTACATTCCTCATTGGCTCCTGTGAATTCACCTTGTGTGAGAAATCTGTAATGATGATGTCAGAGGCTTTCCCTCACCGCACTTGGTCGACACCGAACTCTGTTTGGTGACGACTCTGGTGGTGAGAGAGGCATTCCCAAACCTGGTTCTGTTTGCTGGAGAATTCCATGTAAACAGCAAGTGAAGATGGTGGGTATCTAGGTTGCCCAGACGTGGGTCTGCCAGGGCTCCTCCTCGGATGGCCCCCCTCAGCCCCAGACCGGCCTCTCTCTTCTGTTTGGTCAGGTCTGTGACGAGCCCCACCCCTTGCTGGTGAAGGAGATGATCCAGCACTGTGTGAGCGCCAGTATCGATGAGGCCTACAAGGTGGGTCTCCTCCCCCTTTCCTGACGCTGGGGGGGAACCTCTCGCTTCTTGAGCCAGGCAGAGAGGGCGCTCCCTGTGCTGGGGACTTTGCTCCATCTCATTCTTAACTGATGCTGGGAGTTGGGTACCCTCTACAGGTGAGAAAACTGGCTCAGAGGCTAAACTCGTTGCTCTAAATCACACTGCTTGAAAGTAATAGACCTGGAATTCAAAGTCATGCCTTTCTACTCGAATTATATTCTCTGCAAGAGGAATTTGTCCTCCTAGGACATGAGGAAAGAACAGCCCAATTCCTTGCTTTGTAGAGAAAAGCCATCTTTCTCTTTGTGGAGGGGAGCCGTCCCCCTCTATCTTCCTGAAGAGGCTGGGAATGGGCATCCTGGGACCCAGAGCCTGGTCCTATGAGCAGATTCCAGTGGGCATCGTTGGGGTGTCGGTGACCCTCAAGTCCACATGGGGGGCACTGATGTGATCTGAGGCCATTGCTCTGATTGCAGCCGGTTTCCCTCCCCATGCTGCCAACAAACTAAGCTACAAGCTGAGTGGGTTTAGGGCAGAGCTCGACCTCTCGTGAAACTGGCGTGCAAGGCAGGGAGACCCAGGCACGTGGCCTGAAGGACGCAGTCAGATTTATGGATACGGGGCTAACCCCACCCCCTGCATTTGCCCCAGGGAGCCAAGGACTCCAGGCCCCGCAGTGGGGGTGGGGTGAGCGTTGGAACTGGGGCCTGGGGTTGAGAAGGCAGGAGGCTGAAACCACTGCGGTCATCTCTGCCCTGGCCAGGATTTGTTCAGGCCTAATCGTCCCGGGGGTGTTCATTAATAAGAGTGGCAGCCTAGAGAGCGTAGCAGACGCTCTGGGGTGCTTACTGGGACGATTAAAAAGTCTTTTTAAGAGCCTTGGATAAAGACGTTACAGGGTATGGTGGTAGACCGTCTTGCAGTATGGTTTAAAACATTTGCAATACTATCTCTGCCTGCTGGGAAGATCGATCACCCCACATGACCTAAAGGGTGCGGCCCACCAGCAGGGCCGCTGCGTTGGGCCGATTCTTAGAAGCACTCGTGCTGTCTCAGATGGCCTGTCTGCTCCCAGCTGTGTGACGGGCCTGAGACTGGTGTGGGTTTGACCTCACTTCCCCCAGTATCCTTGTTCACACAGTTACGCGGCCTCCGTGTGTTTTCTTTTGTCTAGATCCTCGCTCACCTGTGGCATCTTGGCTATTCCCCAGAAGACATCATTGGCAACATTTTTCGAGTGTGTAAAACCTTGCAAATGGCAGAATACTTGAAACTGGAGTTTATTAAGGTTAGTGAGAGTAGCGCAATGCTTCTCTCGTCAAGAATGTGGGCCACGCTGAGGTTTTGTTTTACTCACAGGCCAGGTGCCTGGAAGATGCTCAGTCAATGGCCGGTCATCCTGGGGGCTGGGGGTTTGTTTAAGTCAGTCCTGCCAGGCAGTGACCTAGTGTTCCTTGGAATGACTCTCTTTATGAGAGAGGTATTTATTTGTTTGTTGTTTAAGTGAGATTAATTGAGGTGTAATTTAAATAGAGTAAAATTCAGCCTCTTGGGTGCATTCTGTTGACAAAAGCATTCAGTCTTGTAAACACCACTACAGTCAAGATATGAACAGCTCTGTAATCTCCCCAAATGTATGGGCTGCTTTGTAGTCAGCTTGTCCCCCCTAGCACCTGGAAACCACTGATCTCTTTTCTATTTGGGGGACAGAATTTTCCAGAAAGCCATACAAGTGGAATCAAGCAGAACGTAACCTTTTATGTCTGGCTTCTCTCACTTCACTTAATGCATTTTGGATTTGTTCACCTTGTTGCCTATGTCAGTGGGTCCTTCCTTTTCATTGCTGAGTCGTGTTCCCTTGTGTGGGCATCCCACTGTTGTTCACCAGTTGAAGGACACTTGAGTTTCCAGATTTTGGTGACAATGAATAGAACCACTATAAACATTTGTGTACATGAACTGGTGTGAACATGAACCCCAGTTTTCATTTCTCTTGGGTAATTTCCCAGGAGTGAGATTCCTTGGTTGAATGGTAATCGAAGGGCTAACTTTATAGGAAACTTCCAAACTTTTCCAAAGTGGCTATAGAATTTTGCCTTTGTATCAGCAATATGTGAGCATTCCAGATGATCCCCCTTCTGGTCAGCACTTGGAATGCTCAGTTGGTCTTTTTTAAGCCCTTCTAATAGGTGTATAGTAGTATCTCATTTTGGCTTTAATTTGCATTTCCCAATAACTGATGATGTCGAGTACTTTTTCATGTGCTTATTTGACATCCATGATCTTCTTTGAGGAAGTGTCTAAGTCTACCCTTTTTTTTTTTTTTTTTTTTTGTGGTACACGGGCCTCTCACTGTTGTGGTCTTTCCCGTTGCGGAGCACAGGCTCCGGACGCGCAGGCTCAGCGGCCATGGCTCACGGGCCCAGCTGCTCCGTGGCATGTGGGATCTTCCCGGACCCGGGCACGAACCCATGTCCCCTGCATCGGCAGGCGGACTCTCAACCACTGCGCCACCAGGGAAGCCCTACCCATTTTTAAATTGGGTTGTTTGTGTTCTTATTACTGCGTTTTGAGAGTTCTTTATATATTCCGGTTGCAAGTCCTCTGTCAGATATGTGTGTTACAAATGTTTTTTCCCAGTCTGGCTTTTTTTTTCTTTTTCATTTTCTTAGCAGTACCTGTCAAAGAAATATCAGCAACCTTTTAGGAAATAAATTGAACTCCTCAGAGTTCATTTTCCAGCTGGAGTTTGAGTTCACTGCATCAATTTTGAGCAAACCGTTCATTTAGATGTTCAGATTTTAAAAACTAAACTTCTTCCCTCACTTATTAACCAGATTTAAATTTGATTTTTTTTTTTTCAGGAAATTGGATACACTCATATGAAAATAGCGGAAGGTGTGAACTCCCTTCTGCAGATGGCAGGGCTCCTGGCCAGGCTGTGTCAGAAGACAATGGCCCCGGTGGCCAGTTAGAGCAGAGAACTCATTCGCTGGGTTATGAGTCCTCGTCACTGAGAGGCAGGAGTCATAGCCTTCTGATTTGGAAAAAGTGCTGCCTTGGATGGCCCTGGAGTGCATCTTCCTTGCCGTCACCTTCCAGTACGTCTCCCCTGCTCCTGGAGCGTTTACCCTCAGCCTCAGACTCGTGGTGGGGTGACAGCATGGAAAGGCCCCAGAGACCCTCCAGGGCCCAGTACCTGATCTGTGCACGTGTTGGCATTTTAGTAATAAAACCGTACAGCTTTGTCAGCAGAAAGGTGGCAGTGCAAGGCCACAAGGAAAGCTGGCTTCCCGTCTCTGTGTATACGCCCCTAGCGTCCTACAGGTAGAAAGGTGATTTCGATAATAGACTGGACAGGCTAATCTCAATCTTTCTAGAAGCCTAGAGGACAGTCCCACAGGGTGAGGCAGGGTTTGTTGTAATTTATCAGCTTCTCAGAACAGCCCAGGGTCCTAAGCCCTTCAGAAAGGACTTGGCAAGAATCACAGAGGAGAATGGTACAGACAGGCATAGGGGACCCTCCCACCAGGTCGCCTTTTCTGTGCAAACGGGTGTACTCATTTGCTTTAGAATTTCCCAGTGAATTTTGCATTAATTTGTGGAATTGCTTTTTCTTTTTTGGCAAGGTGTTATTTTTTTCCATGTTTAAAAATTATGAAAAATATCAATTGTACGTAAAACAGAGAATGATACAGTGAACTTCCACATACTCATCATCCATCTTAGCAATCTTAACAACACGTGGCCAGTCTTGTTTCCTCTGTGCCCTACACCAGCACCAGCATCCTACCCCACTCCCAGATTGTTCTGGAGCAAATCCCAGGCAGGGTTAGACACGTGTCCAGACCACGTGGTTGAACGGATACAGGAAAGGCTCCAAGGTCACTGGTTCTTTGCGGTTAGGGTTTTGATTAAGAGGGGGGAAAAAAATTAAGGTCCTCAGAAACTGCAGGGTGAAGTTTTACAAAAATACTTTGGCATACCTTCTCAATTTTTTTTTTTGGTTTTGTTTTTTGGCGCACGGCTTGCGGGATCTTAGTTCCCCAACCAGGGATCTAACCCAGGCCCCTGCAGTGAACGCACCGAGTCCTAACCACTGGACCACCAGGGGAATTCCCTACCTTCTCAATCTTATTTTTTGTCTGGAGCCTTGGGATCCTTATGAGGTGAAGGGATGCTCGTGCCCATTGTGCAAAGTGAGACCCCAGCTTCCCACACTCAGCGACAGCGGGGCAGGACCCCCTCCCGCTGGAGCCTCACTGCAGCCCCACCACACCTGTGCTCAGGCCTAAGCTGTCCTCTCCACGTCGTGAGGCCAGGACTGTGGGGTGTGAAGAGACAAGTGGCCAACAGCTGTGTTCTAGATGGTTTTTCTTCTAATTTCCTAACTTGCAGCATTAATTTCGTCTCATAGAATCGGTGCAGCATCTGGAAAGAGGGTTGGACTCAGGGACCAAGTTCTTGTCCCCAGCCTTCTCTCTCTCGAGGCCTCAGGGTCCCTTTCTTTGAAACAAGAAGCCTGACTTTCATTGCCTTAGAAGGTTCTACGTGAAGCAGGGAAAGCAGACGGGAGAATCACTGCCCTTGAACTGGAACGGTTTCTTGAGATGTTTCGGTTGGAGGAGGCATTTTGTTTCCCTGACTCTGGCTTCTCTGACTCAGAAGGTCCCTTGGACCCCGTCCTTCCCATGAGACGGTCCTGTTTCTGCCCAATCCGCTGAGGCTCCAGGCCACTGCACTGCACCTGCCCCCTCCCCAGAACCACGACGTGCTCTGTCCACAGCAGACACTCCTGCTGAAGGGTCGTGAAGGTGGCTGTGGCCTCATCTCTGATTCGGTCAACGGAGGGCCAAAGAAAGGAGCGCCAAGGCTCCCCGTAACTCTGCTGAAGTTAAGTACGTGTAATGCTTACAGGAGACAAGATGGACACAACCTCTACTCTGAAACGCAGAATATTAAATAAAACTCCACCTACATAACTTAACTGTACAAGCTTTTCCATCATGCACAAGGGTCCCAGCAACCAACATTAGTAAGCAATTTGGGATCAAAACCCAAAGCAAAAAAGGACACGAACACCCATGTAGTATGATGTTTTAAATGCGGTTAAGGGGATGCGACTGCCCTGAGTCCTGGGCATCTGACCACAGCGGGAGCTGCCCTCGGCCCCAGGCTCCTGCCTTGCCCGTGGGAGCCAGTCAGAGGGCGGCTCCATGCGTAACTGTCCTTTCCCGGGCTGGGTACCCCGTGGCCGGCTGGCTGGTCCTCAGGGTGCATTGGTGCCCCTCCCAGGAGTAGCCGTAGGGGGTCTAGAAGTTGAGCAGCTCTGGAGAAGGGACCCTGGGGAGGCAATATATGGTTCCCTGGCTCCTTCAATGAAAAGGAAAAGTATTTGTTAAAGAGGGAAAGGTTTGCCTGGCCTGACGCTTTGTCCCCTCAGCCCCGGACCAGCCGGCACGGGTCGGGGAGGATGCACATTGGTCAGAGTCCAGTGAGCAGAGAACCCGCCGTCAAGCAGCCTTAAGCATGTTTCTTACTCCAGGAGCGTCTGTTTTTTATTTGAAATCCTGACTGCTCGGTTCTGGCCCGAGGCCCGAGTTATTCTGACGTGCCTTGGGTGCAGGAACACCCTCTGCACAGCAGCTGGCGGCTTTCCCCCGCACGTGTCCTGGGACCAGTACCATTAAGCTGCGTCCTCTCCCCTCGAACCCAGAAGGGACCTGAAAGGGGTACCGGGCCCTAACTCCACTCCGCCTTCCCCCTTGCCTGGCGGCCCTTCCACCTGCTAGAATATAGGGATTGGGCCTCTGCAGTCTTGTCGGGCTGCTGTGGGCCCCAGCCCGTGGAGTTCAGTCCCTTCTGTGTGCGGGGTCCCGGGTGTGAATTCCAGCCAGCTGTAGCCGACCCAGACTCGAACCTCCCGTATCGTTTGTCAGCGTACAACATACTCTTAGTTTCTTTCGTCTGAAGAACCTGCACAGCCTCTCCACTCCTGCCTGTCCCTGAATCCAGGCGCAGATCTCTAACTGCCCATTTCATACATCCTCCTGCACGGCATCTCCAACTTAACAGGCCCAGAAATAAACCGGACTTGCCCACAAAACCCGCCCCGCCTGTAGCCTCCCTGATCTCAGTTGCTGGCAGCGATGCCCTCTCATTACTCAGGCAAACGCCTGCAGGCCTCCTTGAGTCCTCGCTCTACCGGGCAGCCGACACGCCGCGCATCAGTGAGCCCCATCGCTCCACAAACACTCGCTGGATTCCTGCCTGAGGCCACCGGTCTCCCTGCCTCCACCGCGTCCCCTGTATTCATGTCTCTACGCGGAGGCCAGCGATCCTTTAGAAACAAGTCACTCTTCTGTTCCAGACCTTCGCCTGCCCCATCTCAGGAAAACCCAGGTGCTGGCCCTGCACGCCTCCCGCCGCCGCCCTCCACCTCTGCCGACGCTCCCCCATCACTCTGTCTGCCCACACACATTATCAGATGCAGATTCCTGCCGGGGGTCTTTACCAGTCCCTCTGCCTGGGTGTCCTTCCTGTCCCCAGAGGGGCGAGGAGCGGAGTTCAGAAAGGCTGCGCTGTCTCCCGGCTTGAATCACGGCACCGCCTCTCCCCACCCCACGTTGCTCCCTGCCCCTTCCCACGCCTGCAGTCCTAACGCGCTGCATTTCTCTCCTCTTCCAGCTGGTTATGTTCTCTCTCTCCCACCAGAACGGAAGTTCTAAGTGGACAGGGATTGCGTGTCTTCTGTTCATCACTGTGTCCCCAGCCCCTAAGGCAGGACTTGCCCTGGCAGGGGCCCTCTAGCTACTGGGTGAATGAATGAACCCTGGGCTCTGCCCGCTGGGCTTAAACTGCTGCCCCCGATCCTGCTGCTCGTTCTCAAATGGCCCAGACTGGCCGCCCGCTGAGAGGACTGCCCGTGTCCCCCAGATCGGGACCTGCTCCCCGTGAGGCAGGGCCTGGGCTCCGACATCTGAGCACCTGGGGGACCGTTCCCTCCTCCACTCACTCTAAATGGGACCTCGGGCAGGTGGCTTGTCCACTCTGAGCCTTGGGGGCGGCAAGAAATGGTGTGTGTGAGCGCTTGGCACCATTTCCTCCCGATCCCGCCCCATCCCTAAGTCCAGCTGGTCCTGCTTTCCGTGCAGTGCCTTGTGCGTGTTGTCTACGACACAGGTCCCAGTAGCTCCAGGTTGCAAGCGAGGAAATGGGTCGAGGGAGGTTAAGTCTCTCGCCCAAGGTTGCAGAGGCCCACCCAGAGCCCACCTTCTCACCCCATGACTCACCAGCCTGCCCTACCTGACACCCCCTGGGCCTGAGACTTGGTGTCCGCCGTGGATCTGTCACCTCCCCACACCAGCCACAGGAGCGGGGGGTGGGCAGGGACTGCTCGGGAGGCTCAGCACCCAGGGCGGCATCCCAGCGCCCCGAGGAGCCACCCTGTTTCAGCATCCATGGGTGCTGCCCCACGGTCCCTGCTGTGGCTCCTCCAGCCCCAGCTCTCTGCTTCTCCCTTGGAGTGCAGCCCCTTAGGCCTGTGCGGCCCCCCACCCTGGACCGTACCTTCCTCCAGGGCTTCTCTAGGCTTTGATGGCTGCCACGTCCCCATTCACGTAATCGGGCTCCCCGTCGTCCTCGTCTGGGCTTCCTACCGGGTAGGGAGGTGCTTCCCTCGGGACCGGCTCTGCGACCCGCGGGCAGATGGTCAGAGAGTTCACACGCACATGCCCAGCCCTGTTCCCGCCACCACACCGCCCGCAGGAAAGGCTCCACTGGATGGTGTGTCTGTCCCGTCCTCTCTGGGATTTGCCAGAGGTGTGTCCTGCCGGGAGCAGGGCGAGTGCGATGCCGTGCGTGCAGCTGGATGGGCAGCCGGCCAGGAGGACCCAACCTCAGGAAGCCATGGTGTTGCTGACGGGGGGTCCTGGCACAGTTCGAGCCTCTGCAGCCACTGATGTGCCAGAAGCTTCGCTGTGGAATCAGCTGGACTGGCCGTAGGGGAGCCCACCCGGCCTTATCCTCCCAGGCCAGATCCCCTAAGCTCCCCTCTCTCCCCCTCCCCTCGACTGTCTGTCCCAGGCCTGGCCCCTCTGAGCCTGCTGAAGGTGACCATTTGGAAGCACTGGGGCTCTGGCCGCATACCCACGACTCTCCTGGACTCCCGCCACTGCCGGATGGACGCTGAGTTCTGATAACCCTCAGACTCCTCGTCCCCTGTAGGGAGAACACCGGGAGAGGGGCTGGCAGAGGGGCAGCCACCATGACCAGTCCTTAGGCCAGAGTGGTGCCACATCCACCCCTCCAGAGGGGCAGCCTGTGTCCTCGTGCCGGGCAGGCCCCTCGAGGGAGGGAGGGAGAGAGTCCAGGACTGATGGGGACTCCTCCCGGGACACAGGGTCTGATATTGGTGAACCGTGCAGCGGGGACTTTCAGAGCTCAGCGGGGCAGGCGGGCCTGGCCTAGGAGGCCTGCCTCCCTGCCCTGCTCCGGGGAGGGCAGCCTCACCTGATTCGGTTTTCTTTGGCTCACAGATGAGCACGTTCTCATAGGAATTGGCGTCATCTTCATCTACCAGGGAGAGAGGAGAGGACGCAGGATGCTGGTGGGCCCTGCCCGACAGGCCTGGCCCTTCCTCTCTCCCTCTGCCTCATCAAGCCCCCAGCCCTCTGGGTCCCCCGGGGCCTCGAACATTCTCCTGGACAAGCTTCTTAATGGGCGCTGGCCTGGCTCCAGCAGCCTCCACCCTGGGCTCCTTCTCTGTCTTCCCCTGAATGCCCTGGGTAGGGGAGATTAGGGGGTGTGGGGGGGTGCGATCAGGCCCACGAGGGACAGTCGGAGAAGGGAGGCCCATCTCTATGGGGCAAAGAGGGGCAGGGAGAGCCGCTGGGGGCCCAGGGGACAGGAACCTGCCTAACCCTTCAGGCAGTGGGGTGGGCTGAGGATCCTTTGTCCGGGGGCCTAGGCTGGTTGTGGCATATCAGAGCCTGGTACCCCGGTATTCCCCCCCCCCCCCCCCAACCGGGCCTCCCCCCCGACACCACCGCCCCCCCCGGCGTCCATCTGTGTCGAAGAGGCTCTGAGAAGTGAGGGCCTCTCCCCAATTTAGAAACGCAGCGGGGAGAAAAGGACCCCCCCCACCTCTCACCCCAGCCTGGCCCAGGCAGGAGCCCAGCCCTGTGCACCTCTCAGCAGGCACTGCCCACCCTCAGTTCTCAGTTTCTGTAGAGCAAAGGTGTTAGGAGCACCTTTGCTCTTAACAAGGGTGCCAGCATCCTCGGAGCCTGGAGGGCTCAGCGTTTGTCAACAAGGCTGACCAGTCCAGGGCCTTCCTTCAAGGTCCCCTGTGTGCCCAACCTTGAGAGGGGCCTGGATGACAAGGGGACCAGCCTGCCCCCTGCCCCTGCCCTCAGCTCCCCTTCTGGCCCCCCTACCCCCTCTTCCCGCCCATCCCTTCCCTCCTTCCCTCCACAGGGCCAGCCTCCCCCAGGTCCCCCTGCCCAGCCTCCTCCAGCCACCTAAACCTAGGCCTGGCCTCCTGCTTTACATCCTCCCGCCACCTCTGGCCCCGCCCTGGGGGTGTGACTTCTGAAGCTGCACTCCCAGGCTACCGCCTCCCTCTCCCCTTCATCGACCTTTGCCTCACCTTCCGGGGGCTTCTGGAACTGCCCACAATCGAAATAGTCCGTGACGAAGGGGTGTCTGGCAAGAAAACATAGACACAGCACCAACTGCTGGGCAGGCCCATGGTCGGGCCGGGAGCTTCCTGAGCAGGCAGCGAGGCCAGGGCTGCTCCGGCCATCACTGCCCCCAGAGCCTGCGGGGGGCCCTGCCAGGGTCTCCCCCGATCCTCCCACCCTGCTTCCCTGCACCCCTGAGCTGCCCTGGCTCCAGCCACCTCACTGTGTGGCCTTATGCAAGTTACCTCCTGCCCTGGGCCTCAGTTTGCCCAACTGTGAGATGAGGAGACGTCCTGGGGGCCCTTCCTATCTGAGGGTCGGTGGAACTCGTCTCTGACCGGGTGGTGCAGGATGAGGCCCCCCGACGGCCTCCCCAACCCCCAAACAGAGCAGGGCTCCTTCCTGTCCCTGTCCTCAGCACCCCCAAAGCTACGGTCATCTGAGGGAAACAGAGCTACGGAGAGCCTGCCTGGGCCAGCGGGTTCCAGGGCAGGAGGCGTTTCTCACGTAAGGAGGCTGCGGGCAGGGCGGGAAGGGCGGGCAGCGGGGCGAGGGGGTGGCCAGGGCCCGGAGAAGCCCACTCACATGTAGGATGCATCTGATCTGCGTCTACTTCCTGCAGGAGGAGGCGAGAATCAGGCCTGAGCGCGGGCTGTATGCCCCACTGCGGCCCCCTCCTCCATGAAGCCCACCTACCTTTGCTGAAGTTCTGGTACCTGGAGGATGAAGAATCTGGAAGAAAGGCCAGGCCTGTTGGGTTGGCTCAATGCTGGTTCCCCAGCCCCCGCCCCCTCCCAGCTGTGACCACCGGAGGAAGAAGCCTAGGTGTTTCCAATCTTCACGCCCTCACACCTGCTCTCCGTCCCCTCCCCCTGCTGGGCCAGCCCCGTCAGGCCTCCCAGCCCAGCTCACAGCGTCTCTCCTCTGGGAAGGCTTCCTGCTCAGTACCTGTCCCACCAGGTATTCACCTGTCTCCGTCCCACCTCGCCCCTGCCCCCAACCCTGTGTCCCAGGGCACTCACCCTCGAGGCTGGGGGAGAACTGCAGCAGCTTGTCCTTCCTGCACGGGAGTGGGGCAGAGGCTGAGGAGGGGCTTGGGAGAAGGCTCCGGGTTTCCTGGGGGTCTGGAGGCCACAATCCCACAGCCCCCCGGTAGGGCCCTCAGAATCAGAACTGGGGCTCTGAGGTCCGAGGAAGTAGCAAGGTCGTGGCCTGGGCCCAGCCAGGTGGGGACCCTGGGGCCCACCTCATTGCCTCCCGTGGGGCTGGGATAGGGGCTCCTTCCTACCTTGCTGATGCCGCGTTGGAGGCCGTGTCCACCAGGGGCCCTGGCCAGGCCTCCCTGACCACTGCAAAGGTTGACGGGGTGTTGGCTGGGCCCCCCAGGCCAGCTGCCCAGCACAGGCCCCTCACCCCATCACCCCACTAGATCAGGCCTGGCCACAGCCTCAGAACAATGGGGACGAAAGGGACTTTGATGTGGACGCTCCCAATCCCGAGCCCAGCCCTGGACCCTTCTGTTTGGGGACTCACGGGTATAGGTCCGGGCCACTGCAAAGTTCTGCTGATTCTCTTGCCTGGAAACACATGGAGCTGTGCTGAGACAGGGCCTGGCCTCCCACAGCCCCAGGGACAGAGGGGCATGACAGACGGACAGGGAGGGACAGACCAGGGCAAGAATGAGGAGGGGCTACCAGCCCCCCAGGACTCAGATCCAGGGCTTCCTGATGCACCCCTTCTCTAGAGTGCTTCCCTGCCTGCCCACCGCGTGCCCACACTTCTCACATGGCCCTGTGCTGGAGCCAGCTGCCAGCCAGACATATGCCCCCACAGAGCCTCCCCAGGACCCCTGGAGATGCCCAGGAGAGTCTGTGGGCAGGGCTGGGGCAGCTGCTCAGGGACCTGGCAGTGACGTCAGCCAGGAGCAACAAAGAGACTGCTCCCACCACCTGCCATCCCAGGAGTGTTTAACATTCCTAAGAGAGCACGGTCCTCTTAGGCTGTTCACACACGCCATTTACTCCCCAGTAACTGGTGAGGCAACTTCAAGGCTTAGCAGACACAGCCAGGTATCTAACCATCACCTTCTTCCTTTGAAACAGAACGCTGATTTTTATTTAGACAGCCACATACCCATCCAAAGGACTGTATTTCCCAATAAATGGGACTACATCAAACTAGAAACCTTCTGCTCAACAAAGGAAATCATCGACAAAACAAAAAGACAACGTACCGATTGGGAGAAGGTATTTGCAAATAATATATCCAATACGGGGTTAATACCCCTTATAATATAATATATAATTAACTCAACAACAAAAAAACAACCTGATTAAAAAATGGGCAGAGGAACTGAATAGACACTTTTCCAAAGAAGACATACGGATGGCCAACAGACACATGAAAAGCTGCTCACCATCACTAATTATGAGGGAAATAAATGCAAATCAGAACCGTGATGAAGTAACACCTCACACCTGTTAGAATGACTATTATCAAAAAGACAAGAAATAACAAGGGTTGGCAAGGATGTGGAGAAAAGGAAACCCTTGGGCACTGTTGAGGGGAATGTAAATTGGTGCAGCCACTATAAACACAGTATAGAGATTCCTCAAAAAACTAAGAATAGAGCTACCATATGAGCCAGCAATCCCACTCCTGGGTATTTATCTAAAGAATACAAAATAACTAACTTGAAAAGATATATGCACCCGTATGTTCATTGCAGCACTATTTACAATTGTCAAGACAGGGAAACAACCTAAGTGCCCATCAACAGATGAATGGATAAAGAGGATGTGGTATATATACACACTGGAATACGATTCAGCCATAAAAAAGATGAAACCTTGCCATTTGTGACAACATGGATGGACCTTGAGGGAATTATGCTAAGTAAAATAAGTCAAACAGAGAAAGAAAAATTCTGTATGATTTCATTCATATGTGGAATATAAAAAAGAAACAAACAAAAAAGCCCAAAATAAATGAACAAACCAAACAAAAACAAACACATAGATACAGAGAACAGAACAGTGGTTACCTGTGGTTACCAGGGGTGGGGAGAGCAAAATGGGTGAAGGGGATCAACTGCATGATGATAGATGGAAACTAAATTTTTGTTGGTGAGCTCGATGTAGGGTATACAGAAGTAGAAATATAATGTCGTACACATGAAACTTGTATAATGTTATAAACCAGTGTTACCTCAATTTTTAATAAAGGCTATATTTCCCAGCCTCCCTTGCATTTATGTGTGACCATATAATTCTGGTTAATGACATGCAAAGCCAAGGTTGTTGGACTTTCAGGAAAACTCCTTTAAGGACGCACTGCTAACTGGGATGCCCCATTTCTGTCCTTCTCCTTCATTCTTACTACTTACTGCCTGGAAGGCAGAGATGAGGGCTGGAGCTCTAGCTGCCACTTTGGACCATGAAATGCCCTTGGGAATGAAAGCCACTGCTAAGGGTAGTGGATCACATTAGCTAATCATTAAACCATTTTGGGTTCCTCCCCTGGACCAGAATGGTGACCTGCCCCAGCCTTCCAGCCTGGGGGGCTGGGGGTCAGAGTGATCTGATTTAGGAATGATGCCCTAAAACCACAGAAGAGAGTCAGGCATGGCTTCCCAGAGGAAATGAAGCAGGAGCTGGGCCTGGCACACACAGGCTGATAGGACTGAACCCAAGTGAGGTGGGGAGAGCCCAAGTCTCCCCTCCCACCTCCTCCCACTTAGGCCTAGTTTTCCCGCCTCCCACGTGAGGAGGTTTAACTTGTGCCTCTGACTATCTTCAGTTCTAAGATTAATCAGGGGCCTGGAGTGGGCAGGGACTAAGGGAGGAGGGGAGAGGGAAGATACTGAGGAACTTGCCCTGGGGCAGGGGTGTGGGTGGGCACTAGGGGAGCCCAGCCCAGCCCTGGTGGAGGTTATGGGCTGGCGAGCCAGAGGACCAAGTGGCCCCAAAAGCCTTGGAAAGTCCAGCCCCGGCCCCAGGAGTGGGCATGGATGGGAAAATTCTATTTTCAAATCTCATTGTGGTTTTTCAGTTGCAAAAGGAAATGAGAGAGGGTGTGTGTGTGAGTTTGTATGTGAGTGCCTGCCCAGGCGTGCAAGCAAGTGCCGTGCGTGTGAGAAGTGCACGCATGAGCGAGTGCTGGAGGAGCCTGTGGGTGCGAGTGGGCATGCAGGCCTGTGCACGTGTGTGCACGCAGGTCTCAGAGCCCTCCACCAGGCACTGTAAGGACACCACTGGCGGCTGCCCTCCTGCCTCGAGTTGTTCTTGGGTCGCCCCCCGATCTGCAGCGCCCAGCACTGCTGACCCTCCCACGGCTCACAGAACGGCCAGCCTGTCCCCAAGGTGCCTGGAACTCCCTCCTGCCCAGGTCCTGCAACTCTGCCTGGGGTCACCCCCACTGCCCTGCTTCCAGCTCTCCCGTGGCTCCCTTTGGCCCTTAGGACAAAGGCCAAGGTCTCTCTCCACAGTCAAGACTCTTCTTCCTCCGCATTCAGCTGATCTCTCTCAAGACATGCTCACAGCGACCACCTCATCCCCAAGACAGTGTCCACCCCGGCCCGACATCGGCAAATGCCCACACCATTCCCTCTCTCTCTGGATGTCCCCTTTCGCCTTCTTTCTCTCTTAAAATCCCTCCCGCCTCCTCCAGGAGGCCTTCCCTGGTCCCCCAAGTTTCACACCCATATCCTCCCCTGAGGTCCTTTAGTGTTTTCCAGGGGAGACTCGGACACAGCGCCCGGTCTCTGTTCCCCTCACTGCCCCGGGAGGGTGGGATTCCTCTGTCGACCTCCAGCACCGGCACAGCACGCTCCCCAGGGCTGGGGTCACCGTGGGGATTTCTGGAGATGCTCCTGGGCTAGCTGGAGAGTGGCATCCCCTCCTCCCCTCCTGTGGCATCCCCAGCCCTCCCCGACCAGGCTGGGGCCGGGTCTGGATAGCCCCTGGGCACCCCCTCGCCCTCCCCTAACTGCTTAGAACCCACTAGAGCCCGGCACGGAGGAGGTGTGAGTGAAGGGTTAGGGGTGGGGTGTGGCGGTGCCCGAGGGGATGCCCACATGGACACCCATGCCCAGGGCACACAGCGTCACTGTGCTGGGGACACTGAGACACTCACAGGCTCCTCTGCTCATAGATTTTCTCGGACCTCTTTGCACCTGCAAGAACAGGACCAGATTAGCAAGCGTCCCGGGGCCGGGTGGGAACTGAGATCCGAGGCCCAACCATTGTGTCTCCCCTGTGCCCTGTGCAGACCTCAGACCGGACGTGCGGGCTAAGCCACCGATCACTGGGGGCCACCTGACACTGGCGGGGGTTGCTCACCATTTATTTAGGAACATGGAGCGTGGAGAAGGCGGACGCAGGCAGCCCAGCCCCCCTCCCCACGCTTGTCCAGCGCAGTCCATCGGCCCCAGACACATGCCCTTGACCCAGCAGAACCGAAGCCCCCAGTGAGCCAGACCCATTGTCTTCAGAGGAGAAACCCAGGCCCCTGGGGTTCACTTCTGCCTCCTGAGGCTTATCTGACTGCCCCTTCCGACTGCAGCCAGGTCTGGGCCTGAGTGGCTCGCTGGGTACACCGCATGCCCCTCCCTCGCACCTGTGACCCCAGCCTTTACCTGCGCGGGGGGAGCAGCGCACACACAGACCGGCCGCCGCCCCCAGCAGCAGCAGCAGTAGGGCCGCCCCCGGCCACAGCAGCTCCGTGTCCGCGCTCATGTCCACTCCTGGCCACTCTTCCTGCAGGGCTGCAACGTAGGGGCACTGTGAGCTGGGGTGGAGGCTGCAGGGCCGCCCCCTCCGGGAACCCCAGGTTTCTGGCCCCCACTGTCCCCTGCCAACCCCACAGCTGAGCCCAGCATCACCTCCCCTGCCTGCTCTGGGACCAGGCAGGGACAGAACCAGCCCTGTTCCCCCATCTGACCCCCAACCTGCACCCCGGGCTCCCAGGGCCATCATCAACTCTTGGTTAAGTGCTGGAAGGTTCTGGAGACCCGCCAGACAGCACCACATGTATGTGCACACTCCCACACATGTCTTCGCTTACCCCCCCAACTGCCCTTTGAGGGAGAGGCTGGAGCCATTTCACAAACAGAAAAACAAAAGCCAGAGATCCCACAGCTGCTAAAGGGAAAAACAGGATTTGAACTCCAGCCTCCAGACCCTAACGCTGGCTCCGCCCACTGCATCCTGTTGCCTCCTGCCAGCCCAGCTTTATTCCCCAACCTCAGAGTCCATGGCCCCTTCTGCCTGGGAGCCCCTGGCAGCCCCCATCGACCCTTGGGTGGTTCTCCACTCCCACCCATGGCCTCTGGGGAAGCTGGGGGTGGGATTTCCATTCCTAAAACACCCATCTGCCCAGATTCCTCCTGCCCTGGGTGACGGAAGGAGGGAGGTCAGGAAGGCTTCCTGGAGGAGGTGGGCCTGAGACCAGGAGGGGAAGAAGGGCGCCTGGGCAGATGGACCTTGGTGGCTGGTGGTGGGATGTGCTGGGAGGTGGGGCTAAAAGGCTGCTTCTTGGTCAGTGGCCGGTCCCAGCCTCGGGGCCCCGCTGTGACGGCCAGGCCTCAGCAAAGCCACAGGCACCCACACAGGGGGGCCTGGTGAGTACAGTCCTCTTGAGGGGCCCTCCAAGGAGAATCGTTACAACTATAAAGAGACTCAGCTCCCCCCTTGCAAATGCCAGTGACAGAGCTGAGGGCAGCCGGGGGTCCTGAGGGGGCGGTGCCCCGTGGTGGGCACGTGGAGCCCACGCTACTGAGTGTCCCCTCGGTGAACACCTGCTCCGCCTGCCGCGGCCCACCTGGGAGGAGGCTTCTCCCTGCTTCCCAGCTGGGGAAAGCAAGGCCTGGGGAGACCTGATCTCTGCGCTGTCCCCCTCCTGCTCCGGGCTCCCCAGAGGCCTGCACTGCACCCAGCCGTCCCCCTCGCCACTCTGAGCTTCCTGATTCCCTGTGGCAAAGATGACAAGGAATCTCCGTGCGGGGCTGAGCCCCAGTCAGGGGCCCGTCATGAAGAAGTCACCTCTCCTTCCCCCAAACTCCAAGTGAGTCAGCGGAAACATGACCATTCCCAAACCTCATGACCCGGCGGCCTCCACACGAGGAGAGAGGATGACCTGATCACCCCAGGAGGTTGTCCGAGGGGATCTACGAGCCTGGGCACTGCCCTCCCAGGCCACATACCCCCCCCCCCCCCCCCCCACCTCGTTCTGCCCCGGGGCTGCCTCCCTCCCGGGCCTCCAACCAAGGCCCAAGTCCATCTCAGGCTGGTAAGGTTGGGAGCATCTGGCCTTGAAGCAGGGAAGCCTGCCTGTGCCTCGGGGTCTCTTGGCGTCAGTTTTCTCATCTGTAAGACTGGGATCAACCCAGGCCGTTCCTCAAAGAGTCGTTGGGAGGACAAGCACGTCCAGCCTGGACCACGGTTGGGGCTTCCGGAAGAGAAACTTGCTGAGGGTGTTATTTCCAGCTGGCTGGTCTGGACAGTTCCCTTGGGCTCCCACCCTTGACGTCTTTGTCCTTTGGTCAAGACAGAGACTCTTTCTGCCCCAGAGGAGGTTCAGGCACAGACACATGGGAGGGTTGCACCCATGGGACAATGGTCCAGTACTGGCCACTGCCGGGGTCTGCTTAAGACCCCAGGTTCAAGTCCACACTCTCAGCTTGGCATTCAAGGCCCTGGGACCTGGGCTGCCGACCTCTGCTGCCCTCCCTCCCAGAGGACCCCGACCATCAGAAAGCCCTCTTGCTTCCTGGCCCTGCAGACACTCGGGACGCCCCCAGCCCTGGTCCATCTCCACCGACCTGGCACTGGGTGAGGGAAGGGAGGGGAGCATGAGAACACAAATTCTGCCCCAGCTGTTGAATCCCAGTGTCACCGGCCTTCGGTCACCCCTCCGTTAAACGAGGGAAAGAATGACACTCAACACTCAGGTTGTCATCTGAGGCCCAGCATTGAGAGGATGCCTGTAAGGGGCTAGTGCCGGCCGGTGGGGCATGGTTGGCTGTGACCACTGTGACTTGCCATCATCACGGTCCCTGTGGGATGGGAAGAGACAGCCGCATCCTGTCGGGGCCAGAGCTGGCTGGACGGCCCGCACTGAGCAGTGTGGGTCAACCCTACCTGAAGCCCTCCCTGCTGGGTCCCCCAGACATGCAGGCCTGAGCCCCCCCTCTACTGCACCATGCAGGGCGTCGTGGTGGGACCCTGGGAGGGGCTGGGATCTGAAGGAGAGCAGCGCTGTTGCCCCAGCCCTTCGGTTGTCACAGACGCGGGTAGCATCACCTTGGAGATGCCAGCTCCTTTCTTCCAAGGGAGGAGAGGGAGGCCCAGAGAGGTGAGTATTCTGCCCAAGGTCACACAGCTGACCAGTCACAGAACCAAGATCTACACCCAGGGCAGGCTGACTCCAAGGCCTACACTCCTTTACGTAAATCCTTTCTTATATTATATATATACATATATATATATATATATTTGCTTATATTACATTTTTAAGAATCACGCAATATTTTTTAAAAGAGAGGCTCATTTGAGGAAAACTCTGTGGCTGCCCCCCAGACTGAATCAATCTGTCCTCTCTCCTTGCTTTCCTAACCAGGCCTGAGAACAAGTGGGGCAGGGGAGGGCGGAGGGAGAGGAGCTGGGCCCCTGGCGCAGGCAGGCCCGGCAGCCCCAGGAGGGCCCCAAGGGGGCAGGCAGGGCCGAGTCGGGTGGGGAGGGGAGGGGAGGCCGCCACAGCCCGTGGCCTGCAGGCCAAAATAGCAGAAAGGGAAGTGGGCAGTTTTCATATGAACAAGTTTTGCAACAAGCCGATGGCGGAAAAGCTCTCAGGGCTGGGCTGAGCAACCCTCTGCACCCAGCCTCTCACCCTGAAAGGCCCTTGGCAACCCTCCTGCCCAGCCTCCCAGCCCTCCTCATGTAGTACATGGGGAAACTGAGGCCCACCAGGGCCGAAGGTCAGGCTGCGGGGGTAGGGGTGGACCCAGAGGTCCCCGTCCGACCCCTGGAAAGGCTTATCTGCTGGGCTCTGCTCCGTTTTCCCAAATAACCTTGGCCTTCGGATGAGGCTGACCGAGAGGTCTCTAATGGAGGCTCTTATGCTCAGGCGGCCAGGGTAGGGACCGGGGCAGCCCTTGTTCTGGGCACGGGTGGGGGATGGTGAAGGCCAGGGCCACCCGTAGGCAGAGCAGGGCGCCAAGAGCACCCCAGGTCATTTGTAGAGACGTGGATGCATCTGGAGACTGTCACACAGAGCGAAGTAAGTCAGAAAGAGAAAAACAAATATCGTATATTAACGCATATATGCAGAACCTAGAAAAATGGTACAGGTGAACCAGTCTGCAGGGTAGAAATAGAGACACAGATATACAGAACAAACGTATGGACACCCAGGGGGGAAAGCGGTGGTGGTGGTGGTGGGATGAATTGGGAGATTGGGATTGACATGTATACACTGATGTGGATAAAATGGATAACTAATAAGAACCTGCTGTATAAAAAAATAAATAAAATTAAATTAAAAAAAACAAACAAAGAGCACCCCAGGGCCTACAGTTTCTCAGCCCCCCAGCAGAGAGCTGGTGGCCAGCCTGGGGGCTGGGTGGGGTGGCCGGGACAGCTTCTTCCTCCAGGCCAGGGGCAGGACCTGGCTCTGCTTGTCTGTAGCATCTCTCCCATCCTCCCACAGCCCTGGGGCAGGGTTGTTACAGCCCCGTTCTACAGATGAAGAAAACAAGGCTCACGGGTCTGGGCCTGGGGAGCTGCTGTCCTCAACCCTCACCGGACTCTGGAAGTGATGGAACCCGCCCTGGGGGGCTTCCCAGGGCTGTGCAGGCTGGGCCGGGGAAGGCGGGGCGGGAGAGGGGCCAGAGCCCCAGAATCAGCTGCCCCTCTAGTGCCACAGGGTCTGGGGCGAGGGCTTGCTAGCTGGGGGCGCCAGGACAGGGCTGGGGCCAAGGGAGGGGGTGCCGGGCATCCCGGCTTCTTCCCAGCCCACCCGGCGGGCAGCCAAGCGCTCCTGCTGGGACAGCAGGGCCACTCCCAACCCCGTGGGGTGTCGGGGGGACAGCCTCAGGACCCCTGCCTTGGGGGCCAGGCTCCAGGCACCCCTGGAAAAGGCTTACCTGAGAGCGGGGGGCTCCTCACTGCGGCCACCTCATCCTGAGCCCACACACCTGCCTGATCCGATGTCAATGCCACAGACACTGGCAGGCAGGATGCAAGGCGGCGAGCTTCCTGTCAGCCACTGAATCATCCCTCATACATCCGCTTCTCTGCTGGACAGGCTCTGCTCTTAACAGACAGAGGCAGAGAGACAGACAAACAGAGACAGAGACAGAGAGACAGAGAGACACACACAAACAGGCACAGAGAGAAAAGAAAGACATGGACACACAAACACACACAAAATTCACACTAAATACACACACACAAACACATGTCTCACAAAGAGGAAGAGACACACACTGCGGGACAGGGACAGAGGGAACGAAATGGGGGAGCGCACACAGACATGCATGGGCAGCGAGAGAGTAGGAAGACACGGAGAGACACACTGAAAACACACACACGCACAAAGAAATACACGTCCACAATGAAAACACACACACACACAGATATATGTGCAGGGAGAGAATGAGAAACACAGATACACACACACACACACACACACACACAACACGGGATGTGGGTGGATGGGCACAGACAGACATATATCAGGGCAGACATCACTAACGAATGGGCAGAGACAGAGACAGATGGACAGAGGAGTGGACAGTCCCTGGCAGCAGAGGAAGGGACCAAGCTGAAGGACAGAAGGAAGGACAACCATGACTCCTCTGCCAGGCCTGGGAGCCTCCGCACACCCATTTTCCAGATGAGGCTCACAGAGGCGTGGAGCCAGCCTTGGGCAGGGCGGCTAGAGCTCAGCCCCCACTCCCTCCACCTGCTGCCCTGGTGCCTGGGCCCTTCCCTCAGAGGTGAGGATGGCGCTAGCGAGACGGGTACGCAGCACGCACGCAGCAAAAATGTTCCCCAGTGCCTCCCGTTACTGGCCATTAAATAACTTGCCCAAGGCCGCTGAACTCTTAGTGGCGCCCCACCCGCTACAGACCAGGAAGTCCACAGGGGTCACCCCAACCCCCATCTGTCTGGCATCTCAGAGCCTGGGCTCCCCAGCTCTGGGCCCCTCTCTGCTGGGACAAGGTTTTTCTTTCAGCCCCAGTCCAGGGTCCACAGGCTTCCCAGACCCGGCCAGGCGACAGTGGAAGTGCCGCCAGGAAGCCCAGCGGCAACCAAAAGAGAAATGCAAGGGCTGGGCGCCCGCTGCTGCCCCCCCGCGGGGGAGAAGGGTGGTGCAGGGGCTGGAGCTTATGGGAGAGCCCGTGGGCCCTGAGCATCAGCAGCAATCCTCATCCCGGCAAGTGGTGGCACCAGGACTAAAGCCAACATCACGGTACTCCCAAGCATGAGAACCACTGCTGCCTCCCTCATCCCACGTGGGGCAGTGCTACGTTTAAGTCCCACGGCAACTCTTGGAGGGAGACCTTACTTTTCTTATACAGGTGAGCTGACTGAGGCTCAGAGGCTAAGCTGGATTTGAACCCATACTCCAAAGCCTCCAAAGCCTGTCGTCTTTTCACCACCCTTGAGCGCAGGTGCTCTCTGGGACCGCCTGCCTGGCTTCTCCTCACCCACTGGGACAAGCCTGTGTTGGTTTCCATCCAACCCTGGACTATGTACCTGCCCAGGGTTTCCTGCCCGCAGAGACGGACAGAAGCTCCAACATGTCCAGTGGGAATGGCATTCTGTTCTACATGCTGGCTTCTGTCGCGGCCTAAGCGATGGCAGGTGCTGGAGAAGTGACCGCCAACCACCGGCAAAGTCTCAGGGCCCATCTACAGTGGCACCCTAGGAGCCCTCTTGCACCCTGAGCCCATTTTCCATCTATAAAAACAGGGGCCTGTTGGGCTTCCCTGGTGGTGCAGTGGTTGAGAATCTGCCTGCTAATGCAGGGGACACGGGTGCGAGCCCTGGTCTGGGAGGATCCCACATGCCGCGGAGCAACTACACCCGCGAGCCACAACTACTGGGCCTGCGCATCTGGAGCCTGTGCTCCGCAACAAAAGAGGCTGCGATAGTGAGAGGCCCGCGCACCGCGATAAAGAGTGGCCCCCGCTTGCCACAACTAGAGAAAGCCCTCGCACAGAAACGAAGCCCCTACACAGCACAAAATAAATAAATTAAATAAATAAAGTTACTCAAAAAACAAAAAACAGGGGCCTGTCAACCTAAAGACCCTTTTTGGACTTGAGTGGAAGGAGGATCCTGCCCCCTTTTGGGCAATTCTCAAATTCCTCCAAGTTCTATTTCATTTATAGACCAGTTTTTTAAAAAAAAAAACAACCAAAAACCCAAATTAGATATATCGTGTCCGGTTGTGTAAATGCTAGTGCACTTGGGTTTTGTTTTGTGCTCGCAGCATGTGGAATCCTAGTTCCCTGACCAGGGATCAAACCTGCAACCCCTGCCTTGGAAGTGTGGAGTCTTAACCACTAGACCACAAGGGAAGTCCCAGGGTTTTTTAATTGTTTTTTTGTTTTCAATTCAATGGTTGCTGGTATATTACATTTTAAAAAGTTGTGACAAAACATATATAACATAAAAGTTACCACTTTAGCCACTTTTGTGTGCAATTCAGCAGCATTATTCACGTTGTACAACCATCACCAGTCTATTTTCAAAGTTTTCATCACTCCAAACAGGGCTAATTGGCTTTTCAGCTCACAGCTGAGTGTTAGTTATGTACACGTTACAGAAGCAAGATATCTAGGTAGTAATGCAGCAGTTCTAAGAACTCAACAACTCCAAGGCTGAGAATATTCTGGCATCATACATGCCTTAAAGGCTAGTGTGAAGTGAGGGATTTTCTTCAGAAAAATGCACCTTGAGAAGCGTACACAACATTCTAGAAGCCCCTGGAGCCTGTCTATAAAGCTGTCTGCCACCCTCAACTCTCAAGGTACAGACAAGCATCATTCCTGTCCCTCATCTCCAGCCATTTATGATTTATCTTTGGTCATGACCTCACTACCCAACGGAACCTAGAACATCCTCCCAATTCTTCTGCCTCCCCCGACCTACGTGACTTTTTTTGTCATCTATGTGTATTTCTAAAGTGTCTTTTATGTATAAAATTATCATGCTGCGTGGCTGTTACTTCTCTTGGGTACATATCTGGGAGGGGAACTGCTGGGCTAGAGTGTGGGAACATTCAATTTTCAGGTTAATGCTAATTTCAAATGAATTCCCACAGCGGCTGTACTCACAGTCTCATTTGTAACATGTTGAGAGACCCACAAACTTGCCAGCAACCAGTCTGTCAGGCTTCTTGCCATGTGGAGGGGTATAAAAAAGTATTTTCTTTGTAGTCTTGATTTACAGCTCCTTGATTGCTAATGAGGCTGACCACTGTGGGGCCATATTTCCTCTCCTGTGAAATGCCTGTTCATATGTTGCTTAGTTTCCTATTGTTTTTCTCTTACAGATCTGCGGGAAATCATCATATACCCTTCATGTATTTTTAGAATGTAATACCTCCGTTTTATCTATATTTTGATACATTACTTTAAAAAAATCTAGTGAGCATATTCTTAATTTCAAGAGTATAATGCATGTGAGAGACTTCTACCAATTCTGAGGAGTCTTGGTGCTATTTACAGAACCTCTGGGCTACCTGGAAAGCTTCTCTGATCTCCCTCCCTCCCAATCCCGTTTGGAAAGATAAGCTTCTAGGCCAGTAATTTTATTACCATTTACCTTGTCTCCCACAGTGAACGGAAGAACAGGTACAGGAAACAGATTTTTTCTAAGTGCCTGAACTGAAAACCAAAGAGCCTGCCGCTGCAAAGGAGTGCGCTTCTGTTTGTATATTTAATATTTTACAGTTAGAGTGTGGTTACAGATGGAGGAAGAGATTAGTAGGAGGCTATAATTAAGTACATAGCTTTCATTATTTTGGCTCATTTTTATGACAAAAAACTGCAAAAGGAAAACTCTCAGATACTAGATGTGTTTATAACCCTGTGAACCTCTCCCAAGCGAGAAAGTAACTCAAACATCTCAATGTTGTTAAAGACTGGCCAAGAAAATGCAAAAGACAGAGCAAAGCTCCTCACCAACAAGGGCAGATGTGGCCAGGCCCAGGCCAGCTGTTCCTGGAAAGAAGCACAAGGGGCCCAGCCTGCCGTCCACACAGCCTCCCTTCAGGGGGACCTTTTAGGATGGTTCACTACCTACATGCCAGACAAACTGTTTGGGGAGGGTGGGGAGAGCCAGGAGACAGCCATCTGTGACATGCGCCACAGACTTCCGGTACAGATGATCCTTCAGAAAGTTCAGGACGTGACCCATCTCCCTTCCCAATTTCCCTACAAAAACAGTGGGGAGAAATCCCACTGTGCAGACATCAAGCAGCAGCTGAACTGCAAACAGGCCACTGACCCCATCCTCCACGGGACCAAGTAGCCCCACAGACAGCACTGGGCCCCCGCAGGTCCTACTGAGGTGGTCATTCCAAAGAGTGAACCTTGTCGCGGTACCAGTGACCCCGCATGACCTCAACAGCCATTTGGAATTTGAGAAGAGGACTGAGAGGAAGCAAAAGTGTATCTGAAGCATAACTCGTGAAGAGAGATTATAATAAGGTTGTTAAAAATCAGGCACAGGAATCTCTAGAGGCTGCATTGCACCATCTCAAGACATAGCAAAGCAATGCTGTTTCTAACGCATCTCAAGCCAGAGCGGCTTTAACAAACTCAAGTCAATCAGTTTTTCTTCTTCTAGACTTGATCTCTACCAAGTAACTTCCTTCACTGAGAAAACCAGGCTACCCCTAAGCAATCACGAATTGAAAGGGGATGCTAGGTAACAATGTCAACACCTTCCTTCCTCACCCGAACGTACGCCCCTCCTGACTACTTCCCCCTTTCTGCCTCGAGCTCGTCACCAAGACCTCCCTGAAGAAACAAGACATTTGAGTCATGATGGGAAACCCAGGCTTCTGGAAGCCTGCTGTGGAAACTTGTCCTCTCCCGGGACCTGGAGAAACAATCTGGCTTTGGACAAAATGGACTCCGAGGAAAGAACATTCTTAGAAACCTGAACCCCTTATTAAAAGGGCCTCACTTGGCACTCCACTAAAATGTTTCTCTGAAACCAGTTCAAGAATAGCAGAGAGAAACCAGATGTCAACTACCTGTCTAAACCTATCTCTGGAACACTCACATAGGTGGTACAAACTTTTATGAAAATGACCCTATTTATTTAGGTGCTTATTTGGAGAAAGACATACCTTCCCGTCTCAATTCAGTTACTTATGGATGAGACACAGGTACTAAAACACTGTGATGTCTTAATATTACGAATGTATTACAGGCCAAGGGAAGAGGTGCTTGTGAGAAGCAACCACTGCATAGTAACAGCAACATCTGGGGGAGGCAGAAAGACAGCTGCAGTCACATTTCAATCATAAGAAACCTCTGAATTACTGGGAGACATAGATGATCCTTCCAAGGGTCTGAACATTCCACAGGCCCTTTAAAACGGAATCCAAAGAACCTTTGGAAAAAAGGCTCATAGAGTTGGATTTCAAGCCTCTGACCACCAGCCCCAGGAAAACCCTCCAGGAGACCAAGTTCCAACTCCTTAACTTTGGGCAGAGGGTTTCCAGCCTCAGGAATGCTCCCACTCTTTTAAGGAAACACCAGTCGGCATCAAGTCCTCTCCTCCAAGCCCTCGGCTGAGGAGCAGCTGCAGTAAACAGTCCCTCACGCACTTGGCCGGAACAGCACCCATCCTCCCCGCCTTGTTTCTCCAGATTAAGCTGCAGTCAGGCTCTGACCGCAAGGTAAGCAACTTCTGCACCCTCCCCACCAGCCTGGCCTCTCCCACACATAGCTCAAAGCCCTGCCCCTTGCCCACTGGGTCATAAAATCACTCAACTACACAGCAGTGCCTCCTCAAACACACAATCTGCTTGCCATGAAGTAGCACCCATCATGCACGTGAGGAGCACCTAGGATTTCTTCTCAAACAAGCAGTTATTTCTAAAAGTTCCTTTACCCAACCAAAAACTATGACCACATCATGTAACATTTGTTAGAAAAATTAGTTTGGGGACTTCCCTGGTGGCACAGTGGCTAAGAATCCGCCTGCCAATGCAGGGGACATAGGTTCAAGCCCTGGTCTGGGAAGATCCCACATACTGCGGAGCAGCTAAGCCCGTGTGCCACAACTACTGAGCCTGTGCTCTAGAGCCTGCGAGCCACAACTAACGAGCCCACATGCCACAACTGCTGAAGCCCGCGCGCCTAGAGCCCGTGCTCCACAAGAGAAGCCACTGCAAAGAAAAGCCCGCACACTGCAACAAAGAGTAGCCCCCGCTCGCCCCAACTAGAGAAAGCCCGTGCGCAGCAATGAAGACCCAACGCAGCCAAAAATAAATTTTCAAAAATCCCCCCCCCCCTCCAAAAAAAAGAGAAATTAGTTTTTTAGGGAAAAAAAAAAAAACAGGAAGAAAGTTGGCATCCCATCTCTGATCATCACCAGCTTTTAAAATAATTTCACAAATCTTGTAACTTCCGAAAGCAAGACGCTTTGCTCACTCCGCAGTACATTCCACTAAATTTGGACACTACTTTCCAAATTTAAAATTAACTTCACAAGCAGCTAAAAAACAACTCAAAAATAAAGACAAGCATTAAATATTACGTAAGGTTTTCTTTTATTTAAAAGATCATTCACAAAATACCATATCCATAGATTTACTTTCTGTCATATAGCTGAATGTGTTAAGTGTTTGGAATTCCATTCTTACATTTAAAAGTCAACTGGATTGCCCAGAAGTTTAGATGAATTTGTTTTGTTCTTAATCTTTTCCACACTGAAGATGTAAGTAGGTCATCTGAAAGCATCAGGTTTGATTACAACCACATAATGCATGTCTTTCTTAAGGTAAGTATTGGTGTTACACAAATGGTTCTTATTTCAGAAGCAAACATGACAGGTGGAAGGAAGGAAAGGAGGGAGAGTTCTGTAAATTGCTGAGACCTGGTGACAAAGACAAAGTAAGAGGAGCCGAGGATGGCAGCTAGTGAGGAGCTACTTTCTAGGCACACTGCGTGGGCCAGCCTGCCCCCGGCCCTCCAGTCATGCTGGTGAGGGTCTCTCTTTTCCGGGGCTCTAGCTGACCCTGAACTGCTCCCAATTGGATGAAGTGGGACTCGGGTGCTCAAGAATTTGTTCACACAGAGGTGTTCAAGCTCAAAAGCCGCTGCCTAGCCTGGGTGAGTGCTGAACACTGTATGTGGCAGTGAACGTCCTAAAGCTGAGAACTAGTGACCTCAAGCCACCTACCAGTTACCTGACAGCTCTGCATAGTCAAATTCTCAATTCATCAAGTGAAAGAGAGTAATTCCAGGCCCATTCTTTCACTCTAAAATTAAGGGATGGTGGGAAGCGCAGTATCTCACTATTACTTGTATCAGGGAACAGATAAACACAGGGAGTGATGCAGAACACACGACAACAGGGGTCTGAAAGGAAGCAGCGACCGCACTAGGAAGTGAGCCCAGCACCGCGCTACCACCTGCAGTGCCCAAAGCACCTCTGCAGCCAGCAGAAAGGAAACCAGACAGCAGTTCGCTACATCCAGCCACAGAGGAGCCTCTAAAACGGCCAGTGAAAGAAGGGAACCAGTTTGGACACGGTATTGAAAGAGCAATAATAAAGCATGTGAACACAGCAGTGTATCCAATTTATCTCCTATGTGCACCCTGCCAGCAGTTCACATTATCCTTTTAGGTTTTGCTGTTTGAAATGTAAGCCTATTCTCCCATCTGGGGAGGGAGTAATGGAGTCAGGACTATCTATAAATAGTTACAGGAAGGAATTTGCAAAGATCAACAGATATTTTATCCTTGTTTTGAAAGCAATGTGTCCCAAATTCTGTACGTTGATAACAGCTGAATAAAAACAAGATGCTATCCAATTTGTGACTTGTATTTTTCTTGGAAGCCACAGCAATACAGAACTCAACATGCAGGTTGCTGAGAAAAATCAAAGGAAACGCCCAGTGTGGCTAAAGGAAAAACAGAAAAGCAAAGGAGAGAAATGAAGCAGCATTTCAATATAAAGAACTCCCGCATGGCAGCTGCCTCTGTCCCTCCAGAGAAACTCATGTGCTGGAAAGAAATAAGGAGCGAGAAGGAAAAAGGACAGAAGGAAAATAGGAAAGGAGTGGCAGGAAGGAAAAAAAGAAAAAAAAAAGCACAAAACAGGCACTAGGTAGATTCAGCAAAGCCAAGAATGTACTAAAAACCACTTGTTAACGGCTGACATGCACTCACGAGCTCTGTGTTTCCATTGTAAGAAAGGACAAAGGTCAGGCGCAGGAATGGTAACTGCAGGACTGCCGGTCTGGGGGACAGCCAGGCTGTGGTCTCGCTCGAACCCCCCCCACATCCCATTCCCCCCCAACCGCAAGCTCATTCTTGCTCCTTGTGAACGACTTCCTCTCTGGGCCTGGCTCCCCCGAAGATAGCAGAGTTGGGGTTGGCTACTTGATTGAGGGGCGTTGCAACTGTTCGAGGTTTAAGCTGGAGCCGTGGTCTCTGTGCTCTTTCCTCTGCGGGAGGGAAACACAACATGGCTTACAAATGTGTCATGAAAAGACACCCTTCAGAGCTCCACTTACACGTTCACGTTATCGTCATACCTTCTGTTGGTTCTCTGAAATCCATATTGGGCCCTCGAAGGGGAGGGCCATCTCTGAAACGACTTCCCATTGGGGGGCCTGTTCGCCGGTCACCTGGGCGACTCCCTCCCCTGCCTCCTAAGAAGTCATCCCTGAAGCCTGAAGGAGGAAGATGACATTGAATTATCTTTTAAACTACTGTCTCAAAGCTGATAACATAGCTTGTGTGAATTTAGTTTAATTTTAAATTCTTTAGTTTGTCCAGCATCAAAAGTGCATACAAAATGAGTCCAAACGTGAATCTGTTGGGTAATTTCAATGCTAACAGACTTCTAAAATAAAAAAAGAATCTTAGGAGAGAAAAATAAAACGAGCTGTAAATTCTTAGCTTGCAGGAAAAGTCCATAATATTCTAATATGGCTTAACACAAAAATGCTCAAAGCACGTTTTATTGTTTTCTAATACAATCTATACACTTATTAAAAAAGATAAACCTGAAATTTAGAAGTTATAATTTAGAACACAAAATCAAAAGGAAAAAGCTAGATATGAAGACAAAATAAAAATACAAAGTCACCTCTGGGTGACATTCCCCATTTTTCTGTTTCTGCTGCAATTCGGGTGTGGATCATTCTAAAAGCAAAGCACCTGTGTGTAAACAAAGCTGTGATCAGGCCCACTCCCTTCCCAGAGAGGGCGCCAGAGAGCAGGAACCGCAGACCCAACCCACACCTCCTCTGGCTGCAAAGGGTTCCCACACCCCATTCATTTGTGCACCGCTAAAATAATTACCAACAGAAGTAAATTGCATCTCATTTAGAATTAAAAAGTATGTTGCAATTTGGACTTCCCTGGTGGCGCAGTAGTTAAGAATCCTCCTGCCAATGCAGGAGACACGGGTTCGAGCCCTGATCCGGGAAGATCCCACATGCCGCGGAGCACCCAAGCCCATGCACCACAACTACTGAGCCTGAGCTCAAGAGCCCACGAGCCACAACTACTGAAGCCCGCGCGCCTAGAGCCTGTGCTCCGCAACAAGAGAAGCCACCGCAACGAGAAGCCCACGCACCGCAACGAAGAGAAGCCCCTGCTCACCACAACTAGAGAAAACCCATGCACAGCAACAAAGACCCAACGCAGCCAAAAATAAATAAATAAGTAAATTTATATTAAAAAAAGTTACAATTCTCATCAGTGTGAAGAATATCTCCTCAATGGACTTTAAGAACCTTAAGCCTTATTTAGTTTTGCATTTAACTGAAAGTCATAGGGGGAGGTTAAGATAATTAACCTTTTAACAGTATAACCAACTTAAGTTAACTTTCAGTAAAAATTTAAGCAATAAGACTATAATTAAACAAATGAGCTTGCCCCCTCTGTTTAAGCTCCTGAAGGTGACTATTTTTACTCACTCCAAGGACAGTGCGATTGCTCAAAGCTTTGCAGGAACTTATCCTTGAAGAAGGATCCTGAGCTTGAGAAATATTCTTCTACTAAATAGTTGATTCCCATTATTCATAGATTTCACGTTTGCAAATTTGTCTACTCACTAAAATTTATCTGTAACCCTGAAATCAATACTTGGGGCCTTTCGCTGTCATTCAGACATGCACAGAGCAGTGAAACGTCTGTCACCTGACACATACATTCCCAGCTGAGGTTGAATGAGCCAACACTCTGCCTTGTCTCAGCTCAAACAGTAAACAAGTGTCCTTTTCACAATCTATTTAGTGCCAGGCTTTCTGCTCTTTTGTGCTTTTTGTTAGTGATTTTGCTGTTAAAATAAAACAGCACCCAAACATCATGCTGAAGTGCTGTCTAGTACTCCTAAGTGCAAGGCTGGGATGTGCCTTGTTAGAGAAGCCTCACGCAGGCATGAGTTACAGTGCTGCTGGCCGTGAGTTCATTGTTAATCAATCAACTATATATATTAAACAAGGCGTCTTTAAATACAAACACATAAAGCAAGGTTATGTATTGAATGGCTGACAAAAGTATGACCAGCGGCTCACAGGAGCCCGTGTATTTCCTCTAAGAGCGATGGCTCCGTATCCGCCAATTTGCTGTTTGCAGTGGTTTAAAGAACTTCGCTGCCGTGAATATGCAGAACCAACTGTCTGCAATGGTGGGGTTCTTTCGTTCTTTAAGGGCAGCAAGGAATTTTTAATTAAATTGATCAAGTTATCTGAAACTCAGTTCAGAGACTAAATCGAACAATTCCAATTTTAACAAAACAAGTAATGAAAACAATTCTAAGAAGGTTTAGACCAACAGGAGCACTGCTTTGGGGGAAAACCCATTTTGGAAGCATATAATCAAGTATAAGTTTCTTTACAAAATCTTTTCTATCAACCAGAGAGGATGCACCATTCATTAAACAAGCTTAATTAGTATTCAAACATTTAACCTGACATTTCCCCCAAACTAAACTGTGTGTACCTTTCCACGCTGATTATGAAAGTAAAGTTACTTCCCTCTTAATGAGATTAGTTTTTGCTACCAGTGTTTAGCATAAAACAAATCAGCTCACACCCACACTGACAAGGCACATAAACACAACTGCTACTTTGTCCAGGTCCATGAGACAAAGTATAGTGGGGAAAAACCCCAAAACCCAGTGTACATTAACATCAAGTGACCACCTCATTTCAAAACTCTTATGATATGAGCGACGGGAAGATTATGAGGGGGGGAAAAAACCAAGGTTTGACACTAACAATGATCTTTTCATCAAGTTTGATGACAGATTTCTAGGAGGCACACTATTCATGAAAATCTTCTGAGCTTTCTTTACGAAGTTTAGTTTAACACACCGCCTAGGGACTTCCCTGGTGGTCCAGTGGTTAAGACTCCGCGCTTCCACTGCAGGGGGCGCGGGTTCGATCCCTAGTGGGAAACTAAGATCCTGCATGCTGCATGGCACGGCCAAAAAAAAAAAGATAAAAAATAAATAAAAACACACTGCCTATTTCTGGTTGACAGGGACTTTCTTATTTGTTTTCTTCTTTATATATTTTTTTGTACTGCTTGAAAAAAAATTTTTTTTACAATGAAAGTATGTCATTTAAAAAAAGGCATTATTCTAAAGAGTAAAAATGGTCTACCTATACAAATAATGTATATAGGCCGTACCCCACCATGTGCGCACTGCTGGTTTTAGATTATCACCAGAACACTGCAGTTTACACTGGTTGGTGGCAAGGTAGCTTCTCTGGCTATGTTCACTATATGTCTTGCTTCAGAGTAAAAAAGCCCAAGCTAAGCCAGTAGTAGAAAGACATCAGTTCCTTTGGTAACCTCCAAAGCTGTGAGCTCACTGTACTATTTCTACAGTACTAGGAAATGCAAAACTGGCAGATTGGAGACCACCACTCATCAAGTCACTAACTACTACACCTGAGGTGGCTTTGAGATGACATCTGTTGCATTTTTCAATCAGAGACTAGCTTATACATAAAATTACAGGTTTACTGGATTATACTGTACTTTTATGAATAAGCTCATTTCTGATTGGCTATAGGACTTCTAGGAATTAAATTATTCAACAGATATAAGCAGTAATCTGTTTAGCTAACGCAGTAGTGGAATGAACTTTTAAAAAATTTCGACTCACAAGACCAGTTCCTCCCATACTTACCAGTTACTTTCTACTGATTTTTGTTTTGATTGGGGGGGGTGATGGGGGGGGCGGGCACTAATGATCTCATCTTATGTGGTGGCAAATGCAGAGACAACCTCAAGTTTGTAGGAAAGAAAACAGACTTGTTTTTCATTCTCTACCTTATGGTTACAACGGACATTTTTACCATATGATTTACCTTGATAATTTAAAAAAAAACAAGTAAAGAGATGAAGAGATGTTTAGGAGATCAACCCTTCAAAGCCTGGCATGCAAACTGACCTCTTGAGTTGACACAAGGAGGCACCCACTGGTATGCTTTGATGAGTTAAGAAAAGCAATGATAAAGTGGATTATGTCCACTTAAGGGACAGGGGCTCCACGCCCTTTAAGAGACAAAGAGGTCATCAGGACTACCTATTACCATCTAAGAGGGAGCCACCAGGAACGATTAGTATGAGGCTTTCTGTAAGCTTCTAGAACCTTCAGACTTCTAGAAATAATAGTACTTCTATTCATGCCATACACACAAGCACCATCAAGGGGCTCCCCTGGGCTAAACCCTGAGAAAGACTCAGCATGAGACACAGGCACATATAAGAACAGTAGACTAAGAAAAGGTAACAAAATAAGGCGGATCAGTCCAACTTGCCCACGATGTGGAAGCTTTCAAGTCCTACCCCAAACACTGAGGTTCTAACAGAGGCTTATTGCATGCCTGGGTACCTTTTCGGAAAGTTTCATTTGTGAAAGGAACTAAAGTAGTCCGGCCAGGCGGGCTACTCACAAGAAATGTACAACAGCAGCAAGGCCACTGAAAAGGGTAAGTGGTGATACTTTAAATACTGATACCGGAATTGCAGTCATCCCGGGAATCCCATCCACCTCTAGATTCTTGAGAGCCACCCATTCCTGAGGATACACAAAAAAGATAAAGTTGAGGTCGTATCATTACCTTGCTGCACAAACATGGAAAAATTCATTGGGAAGACGTACAACTCATGTGATGGGAAGTTCAATGATATTATAAGAGTTTTTGCTGCCAACAGGAAGGAAAAAACCCAGGCTTGCAGAAGCATCATCCATTCTTTCTAAGATTTTACACATTTTTAAAAGCTCATAAACACCTATCAGACCTACAAGGTAAGAGTTCTTCTGGTAACCTTCAAGAGCTGTAATCAGTGGGCATACAGCAAGTTTTATGTTCAGTTGTAGAAGAGCCAATCACCTCTGTCATCTGGTCCACCTTTCCTGAATCCAAAGCCGCCTTTATCTTGTTTTCTGCCTTCTGCAATGTCCACACGAAGTGACCGGTCACCCAAGAGCTAATAAGTGGAAAACACTGTAAGTACTGGCAAGAAAAAAATCTCAACTACTACCACCACAGAGAAAACCTGAATATACTTACTGCACCATCGTATGTCAAGGCTTCCTTAAGGGAATCCACTTCATCAAATTCTACATAGCAGAATCCTGTAAGAGAAAACAAACCCCCGATTTCCTCAAGGAATTCCGGGTTAAAGATAAGGTGGAATCCCTGTCTGTACCATTTCCCTACATCATAACTACCACTTCTGTTGCATCTAGATGGTAGCAGACTTGCAGAACCTGAAAGAGCATATTTTACTTTCTAATAAATAGAACTTGACTGGTATTCCTCCCTCTTAATTATATTTTTTCCCCTCTTATTTATATTCTAACAGAAAGTGCTAATCAAATAGGTACTGAAATAGTAGCTGTGTTTTTACAAAGCTTTATGTTTTAACCATAATATTAAAACCTTCCTTGGGTCACTGAAGAGCTGTTAGTTCTGACTTCTGAATGACTTTAATATAACCTAACAGGGGCTTTAAGACACAGACTTCAAATTCGATACCAAACATGCTTTGATGGAACAGGCTGGGGGTGCCATTACTTACTACTCAGGTAGCTGGTATAAAATTTGTTTTACAAAGCTAAAAAACATACCCTCGGCCACAAGCTCATCCTCCTCAGGATGCTAATTAATTAAAGACAGATGGCCTCGGTGCAGCATGCTTTATTGACAACTTGAGTCTCTAACGCTAGATTCTGACACAGGCCTGTAAGCAGAGGACACTCCAGGGAGAAGAAACCACGCCCTCTCTCACACCTCCAACCTCTGAATAAGCTTTTCCTTCTAGCTGCAACACTCTTGTCCATGCCCTCTCGGTTATATCTGGGTTAAGCACTCCCCCTGCCCCGTATGCTCACACTGCACCCTGTATTACCACCCTCCCCCCATCCCCATCCTGTATGACGATTACACTTCACCTTCAAAGCCCACTAGACTGCAAATGCTTCTAAAGCCTGGGTCCAAACTTTTCCTGTTCGCCATTTGCTTACACAAAGAATGTACTGCTTGGCTGTAGAGTTCCCCGTCCTCCACCCCCAACCATACTCCACCTCCCCATCCATGCCTTTTCCCCTAAGTGGATTCAATGCTTAGAAGAACTGAGAAAACTACTTGCAAGTTCAAAGAGGCAACAAGAGCCTAGTCACTCCAGAGCTCCCACTCACCTCACACTCCAGAGCTGCCGAAACTAAAGATGCCCTTCTATGAGACAACCTCTGCTGCTACTGACTCAGCCCAAAGGCTGGCTTCACCCACACATTTTTACCTTAAATTTGCATTCCTAGCGCTTCCTAGCAGCGGGACTTACTGCTCCAAGCTTAACTGATACATTCTTTTTCACTGTTTGATCACTTACTATAACAAGGCTCCAGGTTCTTAAGTCAGAAGGCTTTCAGAACAACAAAACTATGGAACCGCTCTGCTGAGCGGCACCCCTGCTTCTTCTACAGCCCCACAGCCTCTGTGTGCCTTTCATGGATGTACTTCTGGGTAAATAAAGCAAACCAAATATGCCCTTGTATCTGGCATCACGCACTTAAATACAGGGCACATTTCCCTTTAGGAAGCCTTGGAAGTTGGATAATGCCCAGCTGGTTCCTCATTCTTACTCCTCTGCTCAAGAACCCGAAAGACTAACCTACAGACACTAACTTTATCTGAAATTTGAGCCAATCATTTCCCTAAACACATGCTCTGAAGTCACAAATGTACAGTGACAACGAGTACTAGGTTACCTCTTGGACTTCATAATAAACTAGATTACAGAAAAACTACCCCCTAAAAATGCAGGAGTCGGCCAAGGTGATATGCACCTGAAAAGTCCTGAGTTTTATCTGTTCATTTCTTTCCTGGTAACTCCTTTTCTGGCAGAGACAGGATTGCTATATAGGTCAGGAAAATGCCAGATTTACTTGGGCATATGCCACATATTTCTACAAACTAGATTATGTATAACACTTTCCCCCCCAAATAGAGCTGAAGGCCTATGCGTTAAAACGCTAATAAATGTTTATTTCAACTGCGTGGAGTAGGCAAACGTTCGGAACACTTTCATTGAAACACTTTCATAATTAGAGCCCTCTGGTTTAGACCCTCCTCCCCTTACAATAATGCACAGTAAAAATCTCCCAAACTCACCTTTAAATTTGTCTGTGTCTTTGTCTCTGACTAGCCGTACACTCCTTATGCTGAGATCCTTAAAGATAGCGTCTATGTCGCCCTGCACCGTATTAAAAGGTAGATTTCCTACATATGCTGTGTAGGGGGGCTCTGTGGGCAGCTCCTTCTGGCTACGGGAACCATGGCCACCAGCACTGCCACGGGACCTAGGAGGGGAAACAGACAGGATTCAACTCTGCCCCTGTGTACTTGCCCCAGAGGGCCAAGGAAAATGTCTCCCACTCAGCCACACCACCCAGGCAAAATAATCCTATATAATGTATACAGTAACAGCTCCTTGAAATAACAGAGTATTCCAAAATATTTATGAAAAACATGCTTATTTCTGGATGACAGAAATGTCCACAGAAACACAGAATCTCTGTGAACGTACATTTCCCTGGAGAATCGAATCCAAACATAACATCCTCCTACAGACAAGTGGTTCTCTCCTATTCACTAAGAATAGGAGAAAAGAACCTAAGCCAATGCCCTCCTTCACACCCGATAATACTAACACACACAGAAATGCAGTGTCCACTTATTACCCTGAAGCTGAAGTTTAACTCATTCACAATACAATTGTTTCTTGCTGATTATAGATAATATGCTCTAATAAAAATTTTAGATTTTGTGCAGCAAGTACTATGTATTGTACATATTACTCTCCACTCCCCCATGCACTACCTCACTGGGTCCTCAAACACAAGGTGCATATTACTAATTCATTTAAACGTCAATGTCATTTCCTCAGCTAAGTCAAGAGGTGTTTAGCTTGTCCATGGTTACAGAGCTTAAAAGTGGCAGGACCCTGACTCCACCATATCATGGCTAATCTGCATAGGCACTGGTTTAAATCCGAGCTCTACCACATACTTACTCCACCACATAATCTTGAGGAGTTACTCAATTTCTCTAAGCCTTATTTGGAAAACTGGGTTAATACTAAGAGAGACCTTGAATTATTGAGAAGTAACATATGGTGCGTCATACACTGCCTGTCACATAGTTCACATGTGTAGAGTAACAATGACCATAATAACTGCTGTCTAAGACCTGAGGTTTACAATGTTTTATAGATAATTTAAAAATAAATGGGACCAGCTTCCCTGGTGGCGCAGCGGTTGGGAATCCGCCTGCCAATTCAGGGGACATGGGTTCGAGCCCTGGTCTGGGAAGATCCCACATGCCGCGGAACAACTAAGCCCGTGTGCCACAACTGCTGAGCCTGCACTCTAGAGCCTGCGAGTCACAACTACTGAGCCCACGTGCCGCAACTACTGAGCCCACACGCCTAGAGCCCGTGCTCCGCAACAAGAGAAGCCACTGCAATGACAAGCCCGCGTACCGCAGCAAAGAGTAGCCCCCGCTCGCCGCAACTAGAGGAGGCCCATGTGCAGCAACGAAGACCCAACTCAGCCAAAAAAAAAAAAACACACAAAAAGCAAACAAGCAAATAAATAAATAGGGCCACGGGACTTCCCCCTGGTGGTCCAGTGGTTAAGACTCCGCGCTCCGAACGCAGGGGGCCCAGGTTTGATCCCTGGTCAGGGAACTAGATCCCACATAATGCAACTAAGAGCCTGCATGACGCAACTGAGGATCTGCGTGCCTCAACTAAGACCAACTGCAGCCAAATAAATATTTTAAAAACAAACAAAAAAATAAATGGGGCCATTATACATTTGTCAAAACCCATAGCACAGAATGGACAACACCAAGAGTGAACCCTAATGTTAACTATGGACATTGGGTGATAAAGACATTGTCAATGCAGATTCATTGATTGGAACAAATGTACTGCTCTGGTGCAGATGTTGGCAGCAGGGGAAGCTGTGCCCCTGTGCATTTGTGAGGGCAGAGGGCATATGGGAACTCTATACTTTCTGATCAATTCTGCTCTGAACCTACATTGCTCTAATATATAGTCTACTAAATTAATGAATGGGAAGGGGAGGTCTTCTTTACATCAATAAGGCTGTCAGCTAAAAAATGTAGGAGGAATCATGTAATTAGAAAACCACTACTCTGCAACCACCAACGTAGTAGTGACTGATTCAGGCAAGGCTCAAAGGATGCCAAAACACTGATAAAATGAATCTGCCAGTCACTATTGCAACCAGGTAACTGAACTTAGTATCACTAATAATGGGAGAAATTTAAATGTGCCTTCTATTTTGGCACAGATTCTTCAAATATGTAAAAGTCATGAAAGACAAAAAAGGCAGGGGAACTAATGAAATGATAACCAATGCTACATGTGATCTTTGGATCCTGGAACACACAGCCATAAAAGAAAAAGCAGATGGAGAAATCTGAATCTGATGAGTATAAATATTATTGTGAGCATTAAATTTCTTAGGAGTGATTAATTGGTACTGAAGTTAGTAGGATGCCTCTGTCCTCAGGAGAGACAAAGTACTTAGGAGTGAAGTGTCAGGACAGCCATTTATTTTCAAAGGGTTCAGCATAAAGCCATGTGTGCATGCACGAATATATAAAGATAAAGCAAGTGTGAAACTTGTGACATCTACCAGTGTCCATCGTATTGCATTCTTTCAACTTTACTGAAGACTTGAAAAATTTCAAAATAAAATGTTTGCAGAACACAGGAGAAAAAAAATTTAAAAGGGGGAGGTATTGTTTTTCTTTAAGAGACATTTAAAGCAAAAGTCTCCTCACATCAGTCAAAAATCTGCTTAAAGTCAACCTTCCTTTCTTTTGGCAGAATATATATTAATACCAGGTCTTCGAAAGTAACTTGATTTTTTTGAACTTTTTTTTTTTTTTTTTTTTTGGTTTGCGGGCCTCTCACTGTTGTGGCCTCTCCCCTTTCTTTGGACGCGCAGGCTCAGCGGCCATGGCTCACGGGCCCAGCCGCTCCGCGGCATGTGGGATCCTCCCGGACCGGGGCACGAACCCACGTCCCCTGCATCGGCAGGCGGACTCTCAACCACTGCACCACCAGGGAAGCCCGTAACTTGATTTTTAAAATTCATATATTGCTAGAAATATCATGAAAGAGATTCCACATCTTGCCTGACACAAATTCCAGATATCTCAAATATTTGATAATAAATACCAGTCTTTAAGACAACGCTTTCTTTTTTTTTTTTTTTTAGCAGAAGAACCAGGCTATGAAGTAATTATTAGATGGCTAAAAATTTTAAGTTTAATTAACTCAGAACTGCTGCTTCCCAACAGAAAAATCCTGCATTCTGTCTTAATACCAGAAAAATAGGCTTACAAGTGAATGTGACTTATTTTGCATTTCAATAACCATAAAACTGGGACTTCCCTGGTGGCGCAGTGGTTAAGAATCCTCCTGCCAGTGCAGGGGACTAGGGCTCAAGCCCTTGCCGGGGAAGATCCCACATGCCGCGGAGCAACTAAGCCGTGCGCCACAACTACTGAGCCCGCGTGCCACACTACTGAAGCCCGCATGCCTAAAGCCTGTGCTCTGCAACAAGAGAAACCACTGCAATGAAGAGTAGCCCCTGCTTGCCGCAACTAGAGAAAGCCCATGCGCGGCATCGAAGACCCAATGCAGCCAAACAAACAAACAAAAAAACCCACCACCAACAAAAAAAACCCATAAAACCTAAAATATTTTCAGTAAGATACTCTTTGGGACTGGGTACTGAACATATAAAATACAGTATAAACACTTGGAAAACTGTCAAAACAGGGGACCGACTATAATTAAAAACACTTTAAATTCATCCACTCAACATTTATTAAACATCTGGTGGAAAACAGCCCCTTGTCCTGGAGTAGCTTACACCTGAGTAGCACATATAAAACATAAATAACTGTAAATGCATACATGCATGTTTGTGTATATATTTACATAGATATGTAAAAAAGCAAAGGGCTACAATGATTTTTTAAAAACTCAACATGAAGGTGAGGATGAAGAAATGATAAATTTGGCAGGTGTCTGTTTGATGAAGCAAGAAAATGGAGGTAGGAAGGCTTGCTAAAAGGGCACATGAGAACTTCTGTGGGGTGCTGGACAGAGGACTGAAAAGATAGGGTCAACCGACCTCTGACTGAGTAGAGAAAGCCATGTAAGCAAGCCTTGATTAAGGACCGCTGCCCAGGTGAATGCTACTGAGGGGGGGGGGGGCCCTAGCAAAAATGCAGTAGGTCAGAAGCCAGCTCTGTCTTTGCAAAGATAGAAAAATCCTGCTTCAGGCAAGCAGTACTTTAAGAGCTGGAGATGTGGAAAGAGCTAACCCAAGCCCATCAACTTGCTCATTTCACCCTAGCCTCACAAAACTGCCAGTGGCTTAACACTCCAGATTTTTTCAAGACTAACCGATGCAGTCCTCAATATTGCCCTACCTGATCTGGTCAGTTCTACAGGACTTGAGTGGTTTTTAGCTTTTCGTTGAGTAGTTCACTGAAGACATTACAATGCAGTGGGACTGGGGCCAGCCTGGTAGATTTCAATTTATTCACTCTATGAAGAGTCTACAGTGTGCCAGCAACTTGAGAGACAAGAGTGAAGAAGACAAACCCCAGCGAATGCATATGGACATAATAAAAGGATACATTCTGTCATCAAATAAAAATGTCAAATGTCAGAAATTCTTTGAGCTAAAATTCTTATGAGATACTTCTGACACTAATTTAAGTTTAGAGGGGACTATTATCTAAATAAGCTATGTTACATGAAAGCACTTTCTAAAACAGGTTAAAAACACAGAAGACACACCTGGCACCTTACTTAGCTTGGTGTAGGACCTCTTCCAAATCACCTCTGTACCTCGGTTTTCTCATCTGTTACTTTATAAATATTTCAAATTTCTGTTATAAAGGAGTTTGAAATTGACCATAAAAACACTTCACAGAGACTGACTGCTTTATAAAAGTTTAATAATTCTAAAGTGTTATGGGTAAATTAAACACACTACAGGATACACTGCTTATACAGAAGGAGGCTGACTAACAAGCCATGGATGTAAAGCAGGCAACAGATGAGGCAAAGTTGCAGGCCTGGGCACACACCCCCACCTCCCCACCACCCTGCAATTCAGAATAGAGACCTGAAGGGCTGTGCTGCAAACTCCCAGGCCATATCGCTCCCACTGAGCAATGGGCTTGCCCACTCATTACTGGTGCACAAAGGGACAGTCTATTGATTAAAAAAAAAAATACGAGA